TTGAGGTCTCAAGAGGTCGTCAAAAAAACTTTTTTTTTTCAATTTCTAAGGTGTTTATACATATATACGCGTTGGAAAAAAAAATTCTCTGGCTCTGAATTCTTTTTTTTAATCTCGATCATTTTCGAGCGACGCGTGACATTTGTACGAGACCAGAGAGAGGTCTAGGAAAAAAACCACGTAATAATTTATTTAAAAAATTAATTTTTCACAATCTTTGCTTTTATTTGTCAAGGTTGAGTGACGATACACTGAATGTGAAAAAAATAGAATCAATTTGTTGACCCGAAACTTCGTGCGAGACGATGCAAATAACCGGCAAATCGCGTCGCAACTGTCGTCACACAAAGCGGGCGGCTCTTCTTGGTATCGTCTCGTGATATTATCCATGATGAAAGAGAGATACGTGATTACGCGGCAAAACGTTGATTTACTCCGAGGCGCAAGGGAGAAGAACCTCAGGTGAACACACACAGGCAGTCGGCTCCAATGAGCATTGGTTCAACGATCGTTCCGCGAGCGAGAACCTGGGGATACTCGCGCGCGTATGGCCAACCTACATAATTCATATCGGCATAAAAGCAACCGTTTTGATGAGGGGGAGGAGACGGGGAAAAAAGAAACTTGACCGGACGGATGTTCTCTCCGCGATGTATTCGAGACGATCGGGGACGTGTAGGTTTCCGATCGAGAGGAGAGAACGTGTAAGACTCTCCCCGACGTGTGTACGCAAGTACGTACGTCCGGGCGAGACGCGTTTTTTCTTTTTTCATCTCTCGGTGCAGTCGCCGCTGTCGCGCACGGCGGCAGACACGTGTAATCCAATATTTCCGTGTAATTTATATCAGCGCGGAGTCGCGCGACATGACGTGCAAAAACACACGTCCGCGCGCGCGACGCAGACGTGATGTAAAAGCCGCTTTCTTTTCGATACTTGCGGGCAAACACACGCAACACACGCGTGTGTTAAATTAACAAATTTATATATTGGCACACCAGCCACCGCGGCTACTGATGCGCACTGTGTGTAATGTAAAAAATTGTTTTACATTTAAATTCCGAATCGCGAAACGTCTCGAACTCGCGATTCAGGTTCTCTCCTCCGGATACCAATTGCAACGAGTAACAATCAGAAGCAAAAACGAAGACGTCGAATAAAGCTTTGTCACGCGGAAGGTGTCAAAATAAGAGACAAAAAAGTTGTCGCCCAGAGACGTACGTGACGAAGTGTACGATAAAAAAAAAAAAAAAAAAAAGCGTGCAAAAATATTCCAGTGCTTTAAGAGCGCGATATACAAGTATCTTCGGAAACGCTCTGCGTGGAGTTTCGAAATGTGAAACGTTACCCGATAAATCGCGCGTTGTGCGATCACAAACACGGTCTCGATAAACTTCTCGAAACGATTGAAACTTTCTTTGCTGTCTTAGCTTCGAAGTTACGCAATCTTCCGGAGAAAGAAGTTGTTCGAACCACAAAGCTCTGCTCTATAACGTTCCGGAAAGACGATCGAAATTCGAACGACGTTTCGCGCGACGTTTATAAGCGATCGCACGCAGAGATTGGCGTCATTGGTAATGAGGTAATCGCGCAGTTTTTTCACGCGACTCTTTTTTTTTTTTGTCGTCGACGTTTCTCGCTCAACTGAATCGTAATTGCGCAGAAAGATTTCGGACTGTGTGCGCGCGCTCGCGCGCGTGTTTACGAACTCCCCGAGAGAGAGAGAGAGAGAGATTCATTACTGGCGTCAATAGATTTTTCGACCTTGACTGGTTGTCGCTAGGTCGGGTAGACTCATCGCGGCACAATCGAACGATTCGTTTTGCTTTGACGACGTCGCGCGAAAAATTATCTGCGTCTTCGAAACCGCACTGTACTCGATTCTCTCTCGCGCGTTTGCTATTTATATACGACATTACATGGTCTCTCCGCGCAAATGTAAATTCCGTCTATTTTTACATCTTGTCATCTATTTTTGTTCCTCAAATCTAACGAGCGAAAGAAAGTTTGAAGCGGAGTTTGAAGCAATTCGCTTCGCGAGGAAAGAGAAAACAATCATGAATATCCGTTATCTCTCTGATATTTGCAAGAAGAAATATTTTTTTGCTTCAATTATCGTTCGAAGAACGAAGACGCCTGTTATTATTATTGTCGCGTCCGATAATATTTTATTTCACGCTATTATATTCCGATGCGGACGTATTCCCGCCTTAGGGCTACAAGTTCACCCTTTCACGTGATCCCTGTAATCTGTTGTACGAGCTCACATTGTAGGGCCCGCGAAGTGACGTGTGCTTCGCGCGCTCGGTGTCGACACGAGGCTTTCATTCATGGTCTTATCGCGGTTTTGCTATCAAATGCACGCACCCGGGGTCTCTGTAACTAGCCTTGAACCGGGGAACACGTCTCATCACGTGTTCTTTTACATTCAATAGATGTGACAAAGAGTGTCTACGTCGCAGCTTTGTGAATTGTGAAAAGTTTTCGAAGAAGAAAATCTATTGAAATTTCTTGCGAGAGATTTGTTCTCTCCAAGTTCCCACGCGATCAAATTTAAAAGATCAAACGAGGCAAATGGTCGGACATTAATTAAAGAGATTGTCAGATCGTTATGTAAATATTAAACAACAATTCTCAAAGTTTCAGGCCATCTTTTTCAAGATGGTTTTTTTCAATATTAGTTTCTAACTTTGCGTAGATAAATTTGATTGCAATTATTTTTTTGACAAGTGGTGCTTGTCCACAGTTGTTGAGACCTCAGCACGCACATTCGTCGAATGTGTATTTCGCGAAAAATATCCGGTCGGCAAATTCTCGAAATGCGCGAAATCGCATCTCTCGTTGGGCTCTCGTTTGTTTTCCCATGCGAGGGTTAAACCGGAGCTGCCCCGCGGTGATGACGCAATTTGCACGCGGTTTTTTTCTCTGTACGTTCGTTTTCTCGCAAACCCTCTCTTTTTTTTTGTGCCACTAACAAAAGCGACACGCGCTCCGCTAAATCTCTTCTCGAACAATCGACACCACGCGCGCTCGCAGTCGGTGAATTTTCTTCTCGCTCTTTTTTTTTTTTTTTCCTCGACCTCTGCCTGTTTGCGCGAAAACGGAAGGGTGGACGAAAGTTCATTCGATTTTTCTGCAAAATTTTCTCTCGCCGCGCACACCGATCGAACCGACAGTCGCGAACGAGATATCCGCCAATTATCTCGCGCCTACTATTATCGGTTTACATATTCATTGTACGAATATAGCCGCCGGTTTATCGATCGACGGTTGTGACATTCCCCACATACGGTCGCTTAATGCGTCACCAGCGAGCACGGATATCCGGCAATGACTGTTCGTGTGTGTATATATATATATATATATCGGTTGATGTTTCGCTCGACGCAAATAACTTTCCGCAAATTTCAACAATAGCGCGTTCAAAATAGGAAAATAAAAAAAACTTCCTTGATCGATCCAAATAAGGCAGATCGTCGAGCTAGATCATCTCACCGTTCCGTAAATTCCAAAAGACAAAAAAAAACGATCTCAATTGGGGGTCGTTCGCGAGAAAAAAATGTTGTGAATTTTTCCACGATCCGACGCACGATTTAAAGCGGCGAATCAGTGTCGGTTTTTTTTAGTCAGGAAAAACGCGTTGTTTTAACAAGCAGAATTTTTTCTCTCTAAAATCACGAAAGGGAGAGAAAAAAAATCCGAATGTTGCTGATGAAGGGAAGAGCTGTGTGCCTGTCTCGACGGAGGAAAACGTGGAAAAGGGAGAGACCGTTGGAAAATTAATATCCCTCTTCACATTTTACTCCTCTCTTCTCCTTCTCCCGCTCCAGATGGCGAGCGGGAGCGCTTTTGCGGCGTAATAAAGTCACTAGAGCGCGAATGCAAGAGAATGAAAGAGAAGACGGGAGAGGTGAGCGCAACGAGGCAAGAGGGAAGAAACGAAACGAGAGACAGAGGGAGAGAGAGAGAGAGAGCCGCAGGACGAAGGAGTGAGGGATGATGAGTGAAAGAGAAACAGAGAGAGGAGGAGGAGGAGGACTCAGGCGTCGATAGGCGGCGTAACGCGTAGGTCAATGTACCCTTCTGCCAGGGCCGCATGATATTAGTGCATTGGTACCCCATTCGATTCCACCTTTCGATCGAGGGTGAAATTTTCGACGGCACGCGATGTCGCGAGATCTTTTCCCCCTTCGATGCTCGTTCGGCGCAAAATGCGAATACACCCCCTCTCGAGGGTCATCGCCACGGAAGTCACTCCGACAGGGCGCAGATCGTACTTTTTTTTCTTGTTTTTTTTTTTTTTCAAACACATTTGCCACTTCCAAGGAACGATACTTCGCGATAATACTCGACTACGAGAGAGTGTCTAGAGCGCGATCGCGTGATGATCCCGGAGGAGCGTGCTTGATTCACGAGCCATTGACTCCAGACCGACTATAAAACCGTGGCCGCACTTTGATTAAGATGACTCACGCCGATAAGCTAATTGACTACGGAACATAAGCGCATCCATTGAAAAATTGTTTCTGTTATGCGTTTCTTTCGTTCTTACCCGTTAGATCCTCTTCGAGACCGGGTCGTCCTTCGAAGAAGAGGATTTTACAGTCGTTCGCACGAGATCTCAGTATAATTGGACGAGTATTACTGGGAGTAGGACGTAGGAAATAATAACAACAAAGTATTTATAAAAAGTTAGGGACTGATGTTTGTAAAAACGAATCTTAAACAATATTTGAAACGTCGAGGACGTCATGTTTCGGTCACTTCTAATCTGATAAAATTGTTTTTTTTAATATCCGGTCGTGTGTCCGGGACACTTATCTTACGCGCATCTGCGATAAAGCACTTCCGCGCATTTTCCATATCTTCGCGAATTTACAAAGCGAGCAATTACGTCACGGTAATAATGAAAAAAAAAAAGTAATCTACAGTCGACGATGTGCACACAATGATCAAGCGCGCAATGTTTTTTTAACGATTGCTATCTGTTTTATCTTTGCAGACGATCTCAAGTACGTGCACCAGGCTCTTCTTCAGAGTGCGAAGCGAGCGGGTTCCCAGGACAACATCACCGTGATCGTGGTGTTTCTGACACCGCCGATCGAGATCGCCTCGCGACATATAACGTGTCCACCACCGAATGGTCTACTGAACAACATGGATCCGAACAATCCGTCGAGCGAGTTCGATAAGCCCTTCTTCAGGTCGCAGCAGCTGATCAACGCCGGTCTGAATCAACAGACGGATTTCGACATCGGCGTCGATCGCGTGTCATACGACGAGAACATCGCCGCGAGCAATGGGAAGCGCAGAGACAGCGATAACGATTACGACTTCTGCGAGGAGATGGGTCCGGAAACCGATGTTGATGCTGGCGAGGTCGTGCATACAACCCGCGACGTTCTGAATCTCGAGTCTGCAACGACAGACGTTTCTGTGAAGACGCCGATCGAGATCGTTCCGATTACATCGGAAAAATACGTCCTCGACAGAAATGACAACACCGGAGTAAACGAGGAGGAATCTTCGAATCACGATAACGCGAATGTCTATCCAGCGGACCCGATAGACAATCGTGAGCTTATGGATCATCACGATGACAAACCTCTCGTCCAATCTTCTGACGCGAACAACTCGGGTGACGACGACGAGTCGCCACGTGCTGCTAGTTCTCTGCAAGCTGCTAGTAAGTGCAACCTGTCCGTTGTAAGGACCCATCTGTGCGCCGCGCTGGTTTACGAGTACGCTTGTCACGCGGTGAGCAATCTGTTTGTGTCGCTGGCGACTTACATCTCGAACTCTCTCGGCGCTCATGTTTTTGATCTACGCAAAAAGTGAAATTTCTGCCGTCCTTGCGGTTTCGCATAGAGGAGAAATACGTTGTTATATATATATATATACATATATATATGTATATATATACAGGGTGTCCCGGAATGACTTTAACATCTCTCGTAGGCAGGTAGAAGAAGTAAAACTGAGTCGAAAAGTCCTGAACCATTTTTTTTTTTTATTATATGTAATAAAGGAGTAATTATTGAATAAATCAAGCCAATCAGCGCCGACCTTTAGCTGAACGCACGTCAGTGAACCACGCGCCTGGTGGTGGCGTGAGCGCTCCGCGCGGCTAAAGATCGGCGCTGATTGGCTTGATTTATTCAATAATTACTCCTTTATTGAATATAATAGAAAAAAATGGTTCAGGACTTTTCGACTCAGTTTTACTTCTTCTACCTGCCTACGAGAGATGTTAAAGTCATTCCGGGACACCCTGTATATATATGTATATATATATATATATCGCTTGAATGCTGAATGAATTTGTATGTAGGACCGAAGCGCGTGCGAAGTCGAGAAATATTTATGTCAGCGACGAGCGGATTAATCTGCCTGCGGCGAACGGTGTACATTATTTATATATAAGATTTGTTATATATTAAGATTTTGAGAAAAACCCTCGTCTCTAGTGTCTGCGACAAGAATTGCGCTGATCATTAATGTAAGAAGTGTTTTATATACTATCCGTCTGTGAGGATCGATAACGAATTAGAAACTCCCGCTGGCGAGGGATAGAGCTTTACGTTGCAACTACTATTGCTCAGCTCGAGAATACGAAAAGAAAGAGAGTCCATTGTAAACTGATTTAGCGATTATGCGTCTTTTTTGCGATACATTGTAGTCCTTTGCGTCGAGTCTCTTTTTGTGTCACATGCTGTTGAGATAAAATTTGAAATGTGCACATTCGCGGTTTTCAAGGATGCGGTGCAACAACTTTTTTTTTTTTTATACTCTCGACTTGAGCACAAAGCTTCAATTTCCTATATCTTTTTGCTGACAAAATAACTTGATGAATTTTTATCGATTTAGCTTGTTGCCGTATTCGCAATCTTATCTGGATGGAGAGATATTCTGGGATCAATAAAAAAATTGTTATCCCAGAAGAATGTTAATGTGTGAGTGTGCGTGTTTATCGCGTTCGTCTCTTTCGCTCTACACATGCACGCCATCGTGCAACATAGTACGTGTGCAACACACTGTATATAAATGTTTTTATCATGCAACATTAATTTCATCTTTCGAGTGTTTTTCAACGGTCGGCGGTCATACATCATCTCACGTAGATCCTACGTTAAAACTTCTTAACGGTGTAATTGCCGGAAACAAGGAAAAACAATTGCTTGATTATCGAGACACGCGAGACTCCGCCTGTTACTAACGAAGTTAAAAAGAGTTGCGACAATAACGACGCGATATGCCAACGAATGAAACTTCCTCCTTTTTTTCTAATTAACTTTAGAAATTAGATTTGACCCGCATCGCGGGCGCAACACCGCGGAAATGTAATAACAAGCGGGGCGTTCGTTCAATTTGCCGTACGCTCGATAAGCGGAGAAATATTGGGTGTAGGACTGATTGCACTTTACTGAGGGACCGCGAGAGTCCAATTGTCGCGACTCAGAACAATACTCTTTTTGCGTCGTTAGATATGCAAATTTTGAAAAAGCTCATTGCGAGATCACAAGAGTACGCATGTTAAACGAGCGCGATTATTGGCAACATTGTCGCCGTTTATCGCTATCGAAGTTTCCCTCTGAGTGATTTACGCCGTGTGTGTGTCGCTATTATACCGTTACCGAGCAAATTTCGAATTGGGCGCCTCGCCGGCGCGGAGCTCGCGTCGTCGCGCCGCTATTGGTCGTCACGTTCGCGTTCGCGTCGCTTATTCGCAGTCGGGCGGCCAATCGCGCGACGTGCCGCCAATTGTCGCGCCGCGCCTGGTGGAGGGGGGGATCTTCCGACAGTTTCCTTCGTGCCTCGTACGGTTGTGATTGCGCGTCTTCGTTGAGTCTGCTTCCGCGATAATATTCTTCTTCGGTGTGCTTACACCGGCTTTTTCATCGGGAACACGCACCGTCGTCGAGCGAGCGAGCGAGCGCGCAACCGTTACATCTCTCCTCGCGGGCAGGACAGGCGACGCACGCACGCACGCACGCACGAACGCACGGAAGAGGAACACGTTCTCGTCGGAAGGTACGTCGGAGATCTCTCTTCGTAGCCCCGAATCGCGCATTTAAATTTTGAACTGACGATTCTGGAGCATCGGCGGTGACACCACCCGCGGCCACGTAGACCGCGCACCGGCCGGCGCGAACCAAAGAAATTTTCGACGCAGTTCCGATCGTCTGACGTGTCGGACAACGACGACGCGACTCATCGTCGCAATGTAACGCGTCGTTTATTTTTCTCGTTTCCATTGTCATGACTCTAGGATAGACGTAGTTTTTTCGGGCAGCTGGCGCGCGAAGGTGGGGGAGAGAGACCCCGAAACCTGCGACGTTACAATACCGGTTTTTAGTATATACTTGGTTTTCTCTGTCTTTCGGTTCTCTCGGTTCCTCGAAATGTGTGACGTTTCGAGATAACACAATGTTGTTTTTGTTCCGCTGTTTTCGAGCGAGCGATTGTTGTTCCTTCGCGATCTTATCGTATTGACAAGCACAAGTCGTGTCGATGTCTTTTTCTCGAACGATCTCCGCATCTGTCTCTCGTTTCGGGGAAAACATACACATCTGTCCCCCAAACGCACGCACGCACGCACACGCACACCCCCGCGTTCTTCCAACTTTCCCCGATCTGTTTTTCGCGCGAAACGAAGACCCGGGGGAGGAAAATGAAACGGTGGACGCGACGTGTGTACGAAAATAATATCGCGTGTTGTGAAATCGCGCCCGTGTTGTCGCGACTTCTTCCCCGCTGCGTTTGTCAAACGTCTCGCGCGTTCGGCGGCACTCTCCTATTTATCGCGTGGAAGATTTATTCCGACGAGTTCAACGTTCAGCGCGCACGAATGCGCTCAAAACTAGATTATTTCGCGTCGATTTCCGATCGTTCAACGAGCGACAAACAAACTCTCGCTAATCTCAACAAGCTTCTCGTTGACGATTTCGACTAGCGTTCTAGTGCGAAAAATTGAACAAGAAAGCAGCAAACGCGACTCGTTATCGAAATTAGGATCAGTTCCAACATCTAATTCTTAAAGATGGCGCGCTAATGTATAAAAAAGACGATACTTTTATGTAACAAAGAGAAGCAGAGCTCGGAGCCAAAGATCGGGTATTTGAGTTTACAAAAAATAACTTTTTTTTCTTTTTTTTTTTCGAAGACTGCTGTAATCAAATTACAGCGCGAGCGTCGAGAGAAGACGAACTTATCGCTTTCTGACAGGATGAAAGCAAGAAATCTCTGTGAGTGCAACACACGACAAGTTGGAAATGTCTAAGAGATAACTTAAAAATACTTCGAGCTCTCTCGATGACTCTTTGATAAAAAAAAAAAAAACTTTTTTTCTCAGTTTTGTTCTCAGTTTCGGATGCGATTGCGACTTGCCAATCGCGCGTTAATAAATTTATTAGCGCGTGTGTGCACTCGCGTATTTTGTTCGTCGTTTTTTTTTTTTTTTTTGTTTTTTTTCCAACAACGTTGAGGTTTCGTCCCGCAAAGTAATTGGATCTATCGCCGGTCTCGTCTTACTGAATTTCAGCGAATTACCGTGACGCGCCAGAATACGCGATGTACCTTGCCAGTATATCTGTGCTCAAGTTCTGTCACTGGAGCCAATTTTAGCCGCGCTTGTTTAAATTCTCTTCATTCAGACACCGGAGTTGAGAGAGTGTCATCTTGGGAGATGCGATAATTTCATATAGCCGTGCCGTGTGACAGTTTTTAGAAAAGTAAGTGCAAGGTGTAAAACTGATGATGATCGCGCGGACACGCGCCAAAACAAACGAGCATTTGTCAAAGACGTAATTATCGCGGATGTGTAAATAATCGTGAACAATTGTCAATGTTTTGTTTTTTTAAATATGTTTGTAAATATTTTTAACTTTTTTGCAAGGAACTCTATCGCCGATTCTCGCAACTACGCTACAATACCGCGAAAGGTGATACGGTTATTATCGAACACCTTGTGTGTAAATACCTTGATTTAATTATGTCTTTAATAAATGTCAGGCGATTGTCCGCGGTCGTTGAAACGTTTCAACAGCCTTCAACGCAGCGATTGTCTCCGAAGCGTTTTGTTGGACGTGTTCGCGTTTTTGCGGGAGAGGGTTGATTCCTCTCGAGCGAGACAAATTTTTTTTTCGCGATAATCTCATCGCGTCTCTCTCGCGTGTATGATAATAAAGTAGCGCGCGTTAAGTTGGGAGAAGGGCGGACCGTTAACGAAGTCGCGTGAACTTCTCTCAGGCGTGCGAGAACGTTCGCGCGTTCTTTCGACGGCCTAAAAGGAAACACGAGCGGGATGACCGGTCTGATGAATTCGCGCGGGTTGTACACACACACATACAAACCCGTATGTGCATCGCGTTTATTCTTAAATAAACGCTCCGTCATTACTTAGATAACTATTTACGCAACGAGCGAGGCGGTTTCTGCGCCGAGGCGAACGAACGAAATATATATATGACGGTATGACGCACCCGGTGTGTAATTCGTGTGTTGATGAAAAGATCACCTCATTCGTTATCTCTCGGAATAATTACGACGTTTTTTTTTTACCTGTTGCAGTTTTTAAGTTTCATTCGGTCGCCGTGATATCTTTTTAGCGTGTATAGTAGTGTGGATATCTCTCAAGTTTTGCGCGGCGTAAAATAAACAATTTCTCGGCCGCGTCTGCCGCCACTCTCCTCTTATCTGTGTACGGATCTCTCAAGTCTCAAAGTCTCTCTCTTCGGCTGCGACTCCACTTCGAAGCGAAGAGCCGAGATAATTTATGAGACCGGTGAATTTGTGAATGGAACTGTAAATCAACAAGGTTTTTTCGAGAAACTTCGATGTAAGATACGACGTACTTTTTCTCCGAGAAGTTTTTCTTTTTTTTTTTCTTTTTTTTGGAGATAAAAGAAGAAGATTGTCTCGTCGCGCGCAAGAAACTCGAAAAAACTTGCTGCGTGTGCAGAAGTTCGTTAAATGAAACGCAATTTTGTATATACACACGTGTGAAACGGTCGATCAAACACCCAGTTATACTTTCCCGTTTGCAATCGATTTCATTTATGCACTCTCGCGACCCGAGCAATTCCTTTTTAGGAACTCCGTCCGGTTCTCGGGCGTGAAATCGAGTGTGTGTGTTTGTGTGTGCATGCGCCGGCCGCGCAGCGCCCCGGCGGCGTTTTCGCATGTAAATTGGTCAAGTCAATTGCGAGCGATCGTTCGATCGTCCGTCTGCGTTAATAAGACGTCGACAATTACGGGCATTTGTCCCGAATGGAGGAGCGAGCGTTTTTTTTTTTTACATCGCGACGACACAATTTCGGTTGTTTTTTTATTTAATTTTTTTTATCGCGCGATGTTTCGCGTTTCTCTCTTTCTCTCTTGTTTTCATTTTTTTTTGTTCAACTTCTTGTGATGCAAATATTTGTTTTTTGCAGACGCGAATGTATGAATATGAGTTGATTTTTTTTGTTTTCTTTCGTACGCTTGCCGCAACAATGCTGCTGCGTACCCGAATCTCTTTCGCATCTCTGGATATTATCAGGGGAAACCGAGAGCTCTCTTTCTCTCTCTCTCTTCAGCTCTCTCTCTCAAATGAATGTACTCTCTCCGGTCCTTCTGAGGATGGTTTAAAATTAACTCTCCCTCTATCGCGCGGCTGTCGCGACCGATACACGCCGAGAGAGAGAAAGAGAGAGAGAGAGACAGAGAAAGACGTGTCCCTGGCGTGAAGAAAACGGGGAAAAGAAAAACAAGCGAGAAAAGAGGAGGAAGAGGATCTCCACTTGCGCGCTTCCTCGTCCCTCATCCTCTCTCGGCGAGGATGCCATGAGAATTCCATAGTGCTCTCTTCTCCGACGGAGCAACTGAAATTGCGCGACGCGCCTTCGGGCGTTCGTCGCGACGTCTTTTTTTTTTTTTTCAACTTGCTCAAAAATGCGTTAACGAAACAGAGGATCTTAGAAAGTAAGAAATTTAACAAATACCTCGGATCTTGTAACGTTTTCCTCGCGAGGTTTTCACGCGCGAGTCGATTGAATCTGCAGAAGAGGCACGCGATATCGCCTGTGTGTGTAGTTTGAAACTGAATCTTGAAAATCTTAGTAAAAACTTTTACAACACAGAACTGACACGAAAAGGTAGCGCTGACTGAAACCTTACGCGTACAAATCTTTTAAATCTTCGTTCTACAAAACAGACCGATATCACCGAAGGTTAGAAAGCATACAATATGGCCTATATGTGTGTGTATGTATGTATGTGTGTGTATATAATTTGTGCTTGCACATTTTGAGAATCTCTCTTGCGCTTCGCGCAAGGTCAACGTTCTCCTCGACATATGGCGAACCATCGCGCCCCGAGATATTATTATCCGAAATCGGACATATTGTATTTAGACGCGTGTATGTGTGTGTGCATATAGATCTGAAATGCGCGAGAAACACGATGAAGCGCGTGGGAGCAAGTCGGAATGAATTTGCGTTGGTGGTGAAGAAAATTAAGAACGGGTTAAACGAGCGCTATCCGCGTAGGCAGTATTTCTTTTCTTTTCTTTTCTTTTTTTTTTTTTACCGTCCCTTAACCAGTTTCCTTATGCATTTTCCTGGCTTCGGCCAGGTGAGTGTCGAAAAGGTGTTCGATATCGTTAGGTTCTCTCAGTTGCACGCAACGTACGTACTTTTCTGGAGTTTTTTTTCTTTTCTATTTTTTCTTCTCTTCAGCTACTCGCGCGCCAAACTTTGCGCGTATTAAAAAAAAAAAAATATCTGAAGTTCTTGATTTGTGCGATAGAGAAAAATAAATGAAAAATATTGTACCGTATGATGTTGTGATCGATCTTTGGAAGAACTGAAAATGAAGGAAGAAGACCATTTTCGTCGCGCAAATTACATTTTCCCGATTAGATCGAGTGCCGACGATTGATTCGACGATTTCCGCGCGAAGGCCCCTCATCCAATCGGGGGTGAATCTCTTCTCCGAGCCGTCGCGACGCGATGCACAGGTGGGTGGTGGCGGCGTGTAGAAACAGTGCGAGAGAGAAAGAGAGAGAGGGTGGAGTGCGCTCTCCGGGGTCTCTGGACTAGATCGATAATACATCTCTTGGCGGGCGTAGTTTCTCTTAGTCACCGAAAGGGCGATTGCTCTCTGTGTGGCGATATTCTTCTCGTTTCGCAGCTGTTTCTCTCGGCTGCACGTTCGTGCGAGAGGTACTTGCGACATTTATCTGTGCGAGTGGATCGTCCGTTAAGACAACGGACAAGACATCGATATAACGCAAAACTGTGCGCACGACACATGTAAAAAAAAACAACTTAATCCCAAAGTAGTTATTCAAACGCAAAAGTCTGTAAGAATTCGAGATACATGAAATAAATTGTTGAAGAAAAACAAAAAACGCTCAACATCTCACGTTTTACTCGATTGCAAACGTGCACACACTCCGCAACTGCTCCGCTACATGACAAAGCGTGTCACGACGAAGAAATTGTCCTGGTTTTTTTTTCTTTATTTATTTAATATGAATTTGTTTCTTTTGTTTTTTTTTTTTGTTTTTTTTTGTTTTTTTTTTAAGAAAAATACGAGATGTATCCACTTATAAACAATATGTCTGCTACGTGAACGAGGTAGTGTAATATCTGTTTTACCTCAGAGTGTCGGTTCTAACTTCTCTCACGCTTATTCCAGAACCTCTTCAGCACGAACTGATCCCTGAAGCGGAGAATGTAGCAGACAGCGAGGATTCCGAGGACGAAGAGTGGAATTATTATCGTATCGATCGAGACAAGGAAGAATCTAGGAAACAGACAGAAGAAGAGTCTCGTGAGGACGTTCAATCGTCGAGTGTACAGGAAAGTCCCGATTCCGCGAGAGCTAGCGTGGAAGTTCAGGATTCAGATCCCGACATCGATAATAGATGCAAAGTATTGGAAGAGGATATCTCCTTACCTGAGCTTATCGACCTTAATGTGAGTATTTTATTATTGTCGCCTTTGCGATTTTCATCTCGAGACCAAAACTTGAAACCGCGCAATGTTAATCCGTAATTGAATAATATCCAAATGTGGTTTTAGATAAGCGACCAATCGAAAACAAGCGGAGAGGCTCACGAGATAGGCGAGGAGAAAACTCAAGATCTGGAAAATAAGGAAGACATGGATTTCCAATTGAATCCGGAGGCGGCCGAATTTGTACCATTGTCACCGCCGTTGTTAGGCAACAGGAGCTTGCAGGATTATCCCATCAGCGGCTCTCCTTTCAAACAGACGCCGGCGATGGATGACATTCCTGTGCCAAGTGAGAGCGAATTTGAGGAAGAGGTGTGTCGACGACCGAGAGAAATAGACGATAAGGATGAACACGCGGACTCGCAACAGAATAATCTGCCGGGCTTGGACGAGTCTGAGGTATCGTCAACCAAGGCCGAAGCTGATGATGAATCTATTGCGCGTATCATGTCGACTACTCAGTGGCAGCCGACGGATATTGCCCAGTGGGACGCAAAACCGCACGACTTGGAATCCGATTTACTGGAGGGCGATATTGTCAGCAAAAATAATCCCATGACAATGTCGCTTACTCCTGGCGACTTCGAAGTGGCGTTTGAGCGAGGCGTCGACCTTAATGCCATTCATGATTTGAACGATAGCACAGAAAGCGTCGAGCCGTCGAGCACACCCCCGCGTTCACCCGAATTGCACTCGAGCGAAGAACAGGTCTGCACACCTTTCTCGGACAACAAAGACATTTTATGCGCGTCATCGACGCCATCGACACTGCCCGACCTCAAAGATTTGAGAATTTTAACGTCCGACGTCGAGGACGAAGGTGAACGTCCGGCCGCCACTGCGGAACGTTTAGCTGCGGAACTTGGGGTTAGTTTCATTTCGAAAGAAGACAATCCCGATCTGAAGGAACAGCTTAATACAGAAACGAAATCCTCCGTAGAGGAAACTAAAGCCAGAGAAGAGTCCTTTAACTCTGATGCACACAGCTCCGAATGTGAATATAAAACCGCGATCTACGATACAAACAATAGTGTAGAAACTGTGATTGAGAATGAAAATCTTTCTACAAACAAGAAATCGAAAACAGACGACAGTGAACAGATGGTATCTAATGAGTCTGAAATGAAAAATGATCTATCTGAAGTCGAACCAGAAATGAAAACTGTTCTATCTGAAGTCGAATCAGAAATGAAAACTGTTCTGTCTGAAGTCGAACCAGAAATGAAAACTGTTCTATCTGAAGTCGAACCAGAAACGAAAAATGATCTATCTGAAGTCGAACCAGAAACGAAAAATGATTTATCTAAAGTCGAACCAGAAATAAAAAATGATTTATCTGATGAAGTCGACCGAGTAACATCGACAGAACAAGTAGATTTATTGGTGGATAATACCTCTGATAGTACTGAGAAAAGTGGAAAGCAGACGGCATCGAAGAGTTGTATTTTTCATGAGAAACACTTGCCTACGACCGTATCCGAGCAGGAGCCGAGTGCTAGATCAGACTGCTTGATGATAAAAACAATTGAGCTGGATAATCGCATTGTCAACACTATGTCTGATGTAGAGCTTCTTTCTGAAAACAAGAAAAACTTAGAAGAAAATGAACAAGAAGAAGACCTTGATGTAAGAACGTTCCACAAAAACGAGACTGAATCGAACATCAGGAAAAACGTTGATACAATATTCGGCGTGCCAAAGAATGCGACCATTGATACCCAAGCACTGTTTCAAACAAATTACAACGTTTCACATAACGTAGAAGGGTTATACTTAAATAAAGAAACGGAAATATCAGATGAGTCTAACTGGGCGGACTTTTATAATGACAATAAATCGCATATACTTAGCAAAAACTTCACTTCTTATCCTCCTTGTTCTGAATTTCAGACAAATGATTATATAGATCACTCATATGACTTGTGTGATAAAGACACTGAAGATGAAGACTCGAACCAGAAGGTTGGGAAAAGCGAGGAGGTATTGCCGGAATCGCAGAAAGATATCGAAGAAAAAACAGAGACTCAATCCGAGGAAAAAGAGAAGACGGTTGTTGAGCCACCTGCCGTGACGAGCACATCTAAAATTTTAGAATGCGACTCTGTGGAAAAACAAGTTTCTCCCACATTAGCGGAAGAATCTTCGAGCGAGTTGCGACAAAATGACGCTTCGGAAAAAAGCGAAGTTATCGTCAAAGAAACTATTGCCGAGAACCACAGTCTTTCGCCCACAGAAGAGACCGTCAATCTTCCGTCAGAAGGTACTACGTCGCTGGAAGAAAAAGACGTTATCATAGAAAAGAAAGTGTGGAAGTCCGGAAGAAGATGGGAAGGCGATCAAATTGCGAAAATCGATGTTGTTCCAATCGTAGCTCCAACCAAGCCGAAGACAACGGACGCAAAACATATAACAAAAACTACAACAACGACAGCAAAAACTGCATTAACGACGGCAACGAAATCGCCCACTTCACCATCCAAACCAACCGCACGAACGACCGCGACATCGATAACGGCACAATCGGCCGCCACCAAGAAATCGACCGCGAGCACCGCGGCACGTCCCAAGCAATTGGTGGAAGGATCAGCTAAAGCGACAGTCTCAAGTATCAGCGGAAAAACTACCGTTACGAAAGCAACGACGACGACTAAGACGACAACGACAACAGCGACAAAATCCCTGCGTGCAACCGTTAGCACAACGAAACCGAGAACCAGCACCACGTCCAAGTTAAACACGTCGATCGAGAAGAAACCGACGGCGAGCGGCGATGCGAAGTCTGTCGGTAAAACGACTGCTGTCAAATCACCGATTTCTGCTGTGAAAACCGCTACCAGCAGCGCGACCGCAACCAAGACCACGTCTAAATCTTCAACAATACCAACGACAATCACGTCAACCATCAGCGCCAAATTGTCCAACACAGTGTCGAAGTCTAGACCCACTTCTGCCACTGCAAAACCATCTCCAACGACGTCGAAACAGTCGACAGTCAGCGGTTTTGCGGCGGCTGGCGCGTCGAGGCCGAAAACCGCACCGACGACCACGTTGAAATCGCGCGAGAGCACTGACAAAAAGACTACCGCAAAGCCACTGGTGGACAAACAGAACAAGGAAACTGTCAATAAACAGATATCTCGTTCTGCAACGTCTAAGACCGGTAGTCGCGCCGCCACTACGACCGTCAGTTCTATCGTCGCGAGCACGACCGCCGCCGCGAAGCCGCGCGTATCGTCTGCGAAATCGACTTTGCCGGCAAAAAAGACGTCCTTATCACCGAAGGTCACGTCCTCGTCACCGAAAGTCTCTTCTATCGGAAAGAAGAATTCGTCATTGAGCGAGGCTAAGATAACGCAGAACGGAATCTCTGATGGCAAGGAAATCGCGAGCAAGACCGGCAGCGTCGTGACGAGTGAGAAGCTCGAGGAAGACGTGCCAAAAAAAGACGCGCCCACGCCCACGATCGACGTCCCGGCCGACAATCAGCTGATCATAAATTAAAAAAACGACCGACCGAGCGAGTTTGTCAAGATCGCATTATTGTCGTTGCCGCGACATGCCACGTTGGCCTAAAAAGCGTAGTGTTGGGGTTGTCGCGAGCAAAAAAAAAAAAAAATAAATAAAACGTCGAAAACAAACAAAAAAAAAAAAAACGACATAGGTTTTCTTCTTAATGTTATTATTCAATGGACACACAAGACACGCGTCCACGGAATTATCGTTAGAGGAATAGTGCTTAGGGAATTTATTATAATAATATAATCGTATGCCAATGCGAGCGTGAAAAAAAAATTTTTACTCTTTTTCGTATAAATTATACAATCGCGGAGGCGTTAACTTTTAAAATGTGTTGTTGCTTTCGACAACTGCTGCCTTATCAATTAATGACGGTCGATTCCTCTTGAATGTAAATATATAATTCGATACGTTTATGTGTTTCATACGTCAATTATTTTGCAACTCTGATGACCCGTGCGCGGGTCCCTCCCACAGAGATTTGACGGTTTTTTTTGTAATCCGGATGGTGCTTTCGGTCTGAGAAACGACAGACGTTTGTGTGTAAAAAAAACAACAAAAAAAACCTCTGATACGGCAGTACAGTTTTTTAACTTTTTAACATTCAACGAAAAAAAAAATGATACGCAAGGTATGAGAATTTTTTACAATTTTTTAATTTTATATATATATATACGTGCACATTGTGTAAGTGATAATCGTGACACTTTTACTCGAATGACATAAGAGAGAGAAAAAAAAAAGAAAAAAAAAGCTAGAAACGAGAAAAAAGAAACACAAGTAGGGAAGAGCGATATATTTATTCTTGTTTGTTCCTATTTTTTTCTTCAAGTTGAATTCATTGCGAGATTATGTATCGACTCGTAATAATATAATAATTATAATAATAATAGTAATAATAATATTAATGCTATCTCCATCTCTATGTACAGCACTTCTTATATTTTAATGTGATACCTTACAATATGATATATATTAATTATAAATTCGAATCCAAGTGTATACCAGAGAAGCGAAAGGTTTATGTGTGTATATGAACGGAAAGCGAGAAGAAGTGGAGAATCCAAAGGTTTTAGTAAGAGAGAAAGAGAGAGAGAGAGAGAGGAGAGAAAAGTGTGGAAAGAGAACGAACGCGAGAAACGCGTGTAGAATTTCTTTTGTTTGGGGATTTTTTTTCGTTTTCTTTTTTGAGAAACCACATATTTCTCAGAGATGCGATCGACGACACTGAGTGATCGCTTGTGTACGTGTGCTTGAAAGCTTTTACTCCGCACAAATTTCGACAGTTCTCTCTTTTTTATGTTCGAAAGCCGTGCGAACGCTTAGAGCGACGAACGAGCGCGCGAAATCGATCCCGTGATATTTCTCTCGGTGTCGGTTCCGTCGGTTCCGTTCGCCGAGCGGACTTGCGGCTTGACGCTTCGTAGCTCGATGTTCATATGCTTCCGTTGTCGTCGTCGTCGTCGTCGTCGTTGTTGTCGTCGAGGAGGAAAACTGCCGGCGCGTTTCGGGACGCGCGCTATCGGTCGCTATCGCGCGTTAACAAGTGCACCAAGTGGCCCCCGATAGCGCGTTTTCCCTTGAAGAAGAACGCAACGGCAATCCCGAAAAACAAAAGCGTGCGCTCGAACAACTGCGTACGATGATCGCAGAATCGAAAATTGGTTTCGTTGTACGGACTATCACGTCCGATCGATTGTGAAGATTTTATTATTATTTCCTTTCGCGTCTAATTGCGAGAATCGAAGATGATGATGATATAATGTATTCCCAGCGACCACGCGCTGTACCGAATATTGTGCGGTTGTGTGTGCGTGCGTGCGCGCGCGCGCGCGCAATGAATCGATAAAAGAATTTTTTTTGCATATCGGTCTCTCTCGCGTTGCATCACAAAAATATGAAACCTTGAACGTCTTCCGAGTTTGATCTCGAAGAAAACAACGGCACGAAGACTTTTGTCCTCTCCCGAGGAGAGATGTGCGAACGCACACACAAAATCGCAGTTGGCGCGCGCACACGTTGGTCGGTACAACGCGCGCGAAAAAAAATGCGGCGCTTCGTATTAAAGAGAGTAATAGCCTTAGCGATACGAATACACACACGCGTGTTACAGAAAAAAAAAAAAAAAAAAAAAAATGCGTATAGTTCTGATCTTTGTGTACGCGCGTGCGCGCGCGCGCACACATCACAATTTTTCTTTCTCAGAATTCATACTTAAGAATAAATGACGTATTACGTTTGAATTGTAAAAACTACGTACGTTTTGTTCTTTTGTTTCTTCTCATGTCTGTCTCTAATCAACCGTTCCGCCTATCGTACGAATGATTTTTTTTTTTTGCGTGAGTGATCGATTAAAATAAGATTTCGGAAAATAATGAGAGAAGTGGAGGAGAGAGTGACGGGAAAAGAGAGAAGAAGTCCGTTTTCTTCAATTGAAACTTTTGTTTAATACAACAGTGCGATATAATGTATTTTAAATATTAGAAACAGCATTTTTGTTTTTTTTTTTTACAGTCTTTTGTACGTGCGCGAGGCCTTAACGTCGCTTTTGTTGGAGGATAAATCCTGAAAGAGAATGAGAAACATTGTGAGCATATATCGCGGAGATCTCGTTACATCGACTTGGTGCCGTTACAATTTTTTTTTTTTTCCTACATGTCGAGATCACACACTTACCACAGTCATTCCGGCGTCTGTGAACTTGTAGAGTCGAGTCACTTGGATATCACCTAACTCACTCACGGTCTTGAAGTTGTCGCCTTCCTTCGTGGTCAAGCTCTGCGGCAAGAAATATATAATAAATTTTATGTGTGTGTGTGTGTGTGTGTGTGTTACAGGATAGGAAATCTGGAACGATTTAAACTCTACGATCCTACAACACGCACGACGTACATTTTGCGCGTCCGGAGATAGTTTTTTCTTTAAGTCTCAAACATTTTGTTACAAATTTACTCAACTTGCAATTCTTTCACAAACGGCACAAACAAACGGAACACTTGCGTAAAAACCCACCTTGACGGTAACGTCCGGCAGAGACGGGAGCACCTCGTCGTAAGGCTGGTTGAAGAGGAAGGTTGTGGCGAAAGTCTTGCCCGAGACGGTGACTGTGACCTTCCACTGTTCCGGATTGTCGTTCAGCTTCTGAATCTCGACTAGCGGTGACGACTTGAGCGCTTCGGAAGCGCGGTCTTGCTGGCCGAGGCTCTTTATGTACTCCTCGTAGTTGTTGTTCGAGACATGCTGATATTTTCCAGCGATCTGCACCATGATGACAAATGTGTGTATGTGTGTGTACACGTCGAGATACTGTTTTAAGAATCGCACGCCGCACAAGTCTCGAGTCTCGCCGTCGAGGAAAGACGCACGACACGTCGGGAGCGCGCCGGGCTTTTATAACGACATCCGGAGGGGTTTCGTTGAGGGACCCGCCGCCGGCTCTCTCCGCGACCGCGGCAAGGGGGAGATCACCGCCGGCCAATCTGCTGGATGATTCCAGACAAAGTTATTCGTCACAGATTATCGTCGACAAGCGGATAGAGACCGGGGCCCGGGTCCGTCGTTTTATCATCGCGTCAAACACTGACGGTACACGGGGCCCTTCCGCGCACGGCGATGTCTGTCTGCGTGCGCCAGAAGCACATGGCCGCGAGGAACGGAAGAGAGATGCATTTATTTGCGTCTATTTGCAGCCACTTGTGTGTTGGTCGCGTTTGCGACTTACATCCTGCGCCGGTTCAAGAGCGAGCAAATTCAATGTCTTTCTTCTTAGAGAAGCGCAGAAGCGTTTCCACGCGTGAAATTCAATTTTACACGTGTAGTAGCGAACTTCCACGATTAATTCGTTGAACGAGCTCTTTGGGAGTCTAGAAATATTCGAATTTTTTCTGATCTAAGCCACCAATCGGTTGTTTAGAGACACCGATTATCGTGTCATCAGATAAATTACTTTTTTTTATCAAATGAAAACAACTAATTTTGTACATTGCGCTTCCCTTATCGTTGACTGACCGGATTTTATCGCTAATTTTGGAAGAAAATTCCCCTATTAAACGCGTAAACAACACTTATCGCAAGACGGTACAAAGTTGAACAACAAACAGGTGACGGACTTATCGCAAACGGTACGAGATCTCTTTCGCAACCTGATCTCACCTGATAATTATAATTCAATTACATATATATATACATCTCAGACTTTGACAACATTCGTCATGATGACACTAATCGAGACAAGAGTCCAAGTGCCAACTGCTAACAATAAATCAAACATGTACGTCAGCTGTTTGGTAGCCGATATTTTTCTCAATATGCGATTAGTCGCATTCTTATGATATTCTTCTGTCGCTGTGAGATGACGAGGAAAACAACCCGATTAAAACCAAATATATTTGAGCAACAGAGCTCGTACAAAGATAACAATGTGTTTCGACGAACGATTATAAACAATAGACGTTTTTTTTGTTTTTTTATACTTCTTCTTCACATCAGCTACGAATTACATTATAGGTTTTTGCGAAAATCGATATTTACTACATCTTAACGATTATAAAATTTCGAAAATATTGCAAAAAACGTTACTTTACAAATGGACTTCGAAACGGATAGTTTCAAAACACATTAACCGGCACGTTACACATGCACAATAAGCAAAATTAATTTTATGCGCTCGGCAACGAGAGCGACGCAATCGCGTCTCTCTGGACATATGAGGAAATACAATATCGTCGTATAAACAGCGATCACGCATATTATCCGTGGCTCTTTGAAATTACTTTCTACATACGTATATGTAACAGCCCAAGTAACATTGGGATTTTCAGAGAACGATCTTTTAAAAATTCATCATACGCTAAAATTAAACTCGCTGCATTTTTGTACGTTGTATCGCGCGCGAGCGAGAGTTATCAAAAAACTTTCTATCGGCGGTAAAGATATCGAAAAAAAAGTTTCGATAATCTGTTCACGACACGGAAAATTATCTTCCGTCGAAATTATTTAAGATCTTGTTTGCAACAGATAAGCGTGTTTGCAATTTTTACACGTACATGTAATTTTTTTTTTTTTATTTATTACGTCAGTCGGTTGATAAAACGCTATTACAAATAATAAAACGCTCGTCGCTCTCTCTCTCTCTCTTTCTCTTTCTCTTGCTTTCGAAGGGAAAGAGGGATGATTGCCACTCCCTTCGCAGATTGCCTGTGTCCCGCCTTCGAAACCATAAGTACAGCCATGACTTGAAAGCTAATTGCCGGTGATGAGCATACATCAAAGACTTTAGACGATGCGGCGCGCGATGCGCTTCGTCGTCGCGCCGAGTCACGTGACGTCCCGTCGTCTCATAAGGGATGAATGAACTTATGCCTATTAAGAACGTACGATTCTTTACGTTGCACGACGTTCAATTGAATTTATTGTACCTTTCTTTCTTTCTCTGTCTCTATCTCTCTATCTTTCTCTCTCGCTCTTCGCCGGTACGCGAACAATCGCACGATCGATAATAAAGTCGGACGATAGTTTCGTACCAGCTACACACACATCTCCTCCTCGTCACTGCAAAATATATATATATATATATATATATGTAAGGTTTGCATTACTGGCGATTTATAAAACACGTGCGATGAGAATTTTGTTTTTATTAACAATAAATAAATAAATATTGTTACGTTGAGAAAGAGGATGGGCGCGGCGCTGAGAAACTTGCGTTAATCTACGAATTACGTTCTCGTTTCGCACACATATCTTGCGCGAAATGTCCAAAGATAAAAATAAAAAAATAAAAAAAAAAACAGAAGTGAAGATAGCGCGTAATCATTTCTTTTCGAAGAAATGAGCGCATGTATTTCCGATAAGAGAGAAAAGTACTGATAGAAAAAGCACTCCGCGAATTATCTGTTAGATAAATGTCTGTCGAGGTGAGTGTGCGCGACGTCGCAAAGTCGTAGGAACACACGAAGACTCAGGACTCTTCCACTTTTCCGTCGTTTTTCAAAGTAATGAGAAAACATTAAAAACAAAAGACTGTAATAAACCAACAACACAGGTTTTCGTTTATTCCAAGTGCGCAAAAAAAAAAATTACTGTATAAAATTACTGTACTTTGGTGCTTGATGGATTCTACAAAATTGTCTATCGAATCGAAGTCACAACCCCGGACGTATGTTAATAAATAATATTATAATTCAACGTATTCGCGAAAAAAATCTTCTCTCTTTGGGATCAGATTGTGCGAGAAGTAAGATGAGACGAGTGTGTTTCATGATGTATATAATAAACTACAGAAAATACGATATATTAAAATACAGAACACAATGTCGTGACAAGATTTCGGCAGCACAAATCACCTCACGTCCCTGGAAGTTTTTTCTCTCTCTTACTCCCTATGTATATATATATATATATATATATGTATATATGTATATACCTAGGTGTCACCTACATTTATATCTGACGCGTACGAAGTGTGACTACAAATACAAATGTAGATTGTCCTAGAGTCAAAGACTGTATATAATTTTACTAATCTCGTTTTTAGAATTGATCTAACTAGCAAAATTCATTTCGATTTTACTTCGACATCCACGCTTGGTTGAGACATTGGTGAAACGGAAAACGAAGGATTATTTTTCTGAGACATATCTCTATACATCGGAGATTTTTTTCGCACTTCCACTCGTCCCGGAAACGACTGCAAATATCAATTTGCATAAAAAAAAAATAATAATAAATTTTTTATTTCCTTAAAAGACGCGTATTAAGTCAATTAATGTAAAAATTATACAGATAATTGTGCAACAATAAATGACCGAATGCTTGACGCTAAATGTCGCAAAGTCTCGCGCGAAGAGAAAGATATAAAAAAAATTGCTCTCCTTTACTTCCACTAGAAAAACCACTCTGGCGCTCGAATAAAACGACAAGTGAAGGCGCGAAAAGCGAGGCGGCATTAAAAAAATCCCTAGATTTATAAATTAGCAATAAATACGTGTGTTTACTCTCACGCTGGTTTTTGTTATAATGCGCGCAAAGCGTAATAATTAATTAGCTATTTACATATTCAGACGTTCCTCTCATGAAATTTATGAGCGGGTCTAAATCACTTGGGAACACTGTCACCGTTAAGTACAAGGCATTTCTAGATGCACACACACATACGCACGCTCACATACACACACACGTGTGCATACGGTTTTTCGCTCGCTTATAATCTACATAGACAGAATAGTAAAGGGATAAAAGCGCCGATGGCTACAAAAACAGGTAACATCACAGACGAATCCTCTATCGAGTACGGGTCGGGTGTTCTGGGCCCGCTTGTGTGTCTGCTACGTACAGTCTCCTCCTCCTCTTCCGGCGCGGCGTAAAATTCCTCTTGATTTTGCGGTATCGGTCCCAATTGCGGGATATCTGCGCGGAAATACGGTTGTAAAACTCTGACAACAACAAAAAACAAAAAAACAAGATTCGAGAAAAGTTAGATACAAACCATCCAAGGTGCCTTTTATAACAGCTATGGCGTTTATTTTTGGATTGTCTCGGTAGCCCTGTAAAAATCGACACAATTTATAAAAAAAAAAAAACAAAGATAACAAAATACACACAAAAATGTTTACTGAAACATCAGGAAGACTCACCTTTATAAATTCTACTCTTATCTTTCCTGCTAGAATATCCGATTCCTCGTCGTTGTAAATCAACTTTCCATCCTGCACCCTGAAGGGAACGTACTCATCATGGGCGACACCGCGACCGACTCTCTCAAAGATATCCAGATCGGTGACCACAGTGTGATCGCCGTTCAGCACGACATCAAATACCTGTGAGAAACAAAAACAATCACAACAAATTGAATGAACAAATCAATGTGACAGAAATGAATCGTTTCCTCACGAATATTTATCTCAGATATGTACCTTCATATTCGGCGAGTTGAAGTAGACCTCGCAGAACTTGAGTATCATCACATAATCTCCGTTCTTGCTGATCGGTATGTCGTACCCGAAGGTGCTGTGATGATAGCGTTCGGTCTGGTACAGAATCTGGTCCATGGTGTTGACACGTCCTATGATCAGCTGCTTGCCATAATCGGACGCGGTCCCGACTCTCCCCATCAGCGGATCCTTGGCGTATCGTATCCCGTAGCTGTCGACGTGTCTGTCACCGCCCGCGTTGATGGCGTATATCACCTCCAGGCAATGAGATCGGAAAGTAAATATGGCGAGCAGCACCAGCAGTGTCGCCGTGATACCGTCGTTCCCCGTTGGCAGTCGCATTCTTTACAGCGAACAGTGTGTCATTCGCGACACGACGTAACTCGGCTCGTTCCGCGCGGGGAACAACGTGCTCATAACTCGTTTCTCAGAAATTAGCGGGTTGTTTTTTTTCTTTTTTTTTTTTACCAGCGTTTTTCGTCGCGTGTTTACGTGTCCGGACTCGCCTGGAATAGCATCGAGTTCCCCGATCAAATTGACCGATCCTATACTTCGTGCTGCAAACGAACGCACATGGCATGCGGATATGCCGCGCGCTACGTGTGCGTTACGAACGAGTCTCTGCGGAAAAATATGTTATATATAGCCGTGTCATGCCGCGTTGCGGCACCCGTGTGGTTTAGGATCTCCTCTGTATCGACGTGTCAAGATTGCCTCGGCGACGCGACCAACGTCCGTCGAGCGTCGCCAGCGTCTTGTGCTCGTCCAAATGTTAATATGTCGGTAAAAACGAACGGATAAATAAATACATTCCGGTGACGAGAAGAAGAGACACACAAAGGTCATAAAAATAAAAACACGCGAAACAGTTTTAATTTCCTCGCTGAACATTGAAACTCTTTCTGAAAATAAACACAGACCTCGAGCAGCGATGTAATAAAATTCGAGGTTTGTTTCGGACAATTTGTCATCGTGTGTGCGTGTGTGCGCCACGTTATTTTTAATCACACACACGATGACAAGCATAAATTATTAGAAACAAACCTCCAGTCCTGTTATATCGCTGCTATACTTATTCGAGGTCTGTGTTTATTTTCAGTGAGAGTTTCAATGAAATTCGAAAATACTTCAGCGTAACTTGTATATATGTGTATAAAGTGTATATACATGTATATACACTTTACGCACACTTCTCTCTCTCTTTTTCTATCTCCTTCCTTCTTTTCTTTCCGCAACGTGCTCCCAATTTTACGAACGAATTGTTGAATAATTGTCCGCGACAACTGCCGCGCTGATTTTCTTGTGAACTTCGAAATTAACTTTCTTCCAGAGAGAGAGATGAAAGTATACGTGTGTGTATAAATGTTTTAAACACACATAAAAGCGCGTTGTTTTATACACGTAAAGACGCGTTTGAATCTTTTATACGTTTGTTCGCTCTAGAAAGTGGAAAATTGCTACGTGGCGTAAAAATTACTCGCGCTTCTCAATTCTTTGTTTTGCATAAAAACTTGGTCCCGTGTTGGATGAGCATGAGCATGACGCCTGAATGTTTGTGCATGTGTGGGAGAGACCCTGGCGGATCATTGTACCGCAGCTTCCTTGATTTGAAACGATGACCGTTATTGCGGTGCGTCGTACCTCTTGATGCCTGATCTGGCCTAGCAACACACAGACAGACGCCGCTTTAGCGCGCACGCACACAAAATGCTGCATTCTCAAAAATGCGTGAACGCTGCGAAAAATTTTGCGCAACCGAAACTGATCGTTCGAGATCGATCATTTTCCGCATCGTTTTACAAAAAAAACGCGACCATCGTCGCAAAGCTTTGCGAGATTGTAAACACCTCCGTGTCTTTCAATTACACATGTAATTATGTTTTTTTTTTATTCAGTCGTCGAAACAAGTTTCATATCGTTTTTAAATGACTCGAGTCGAAAACTGTTACCCTCAACGTACACAACGTTCGAGCACCTTCGAGCACCTCGTCTAAACGTGGCTGAGAAATTATCGATCGCACAAATTACACTTGCGACTGTTTTATAAACTCGATGCATATCGTAACATTGAGGCATAGTTTTTTTTTTTTTTTTTTATCGGACGTATATATCAGCGTGCTATCTCTCGCACACACGTGTCTTTTGAAACGTAGTAGATAGCAATAGTTCAAACGCACACATATATGTGCGTCATGTAATATATACAACGAAATTACAATACAATTATTCAGCAATTTTGTCGACGATTCTCGGTGCTACAACGTTTCCAGAATATAATAATTGTTACTTAACATGTTTTGCGGTTTATTATCCACTCGTCATTGTATGCACAACACAATGCGACCGAATCATCTTTGAATCCTCAGGTCTGAATTTCTCATTCGAGTAATTGCTGACATTTTCTCGCAGTTTCCTCATGAAACTCTAACGTTACGCAAGTACATACACGTGATCATCAAATTTTCCGCTCGTAAAAAACTCATCAGAGATTCGATCCCTCCTCGACAACTGGGAACATAAGCGAAATGAACTACTCGACCTGTAAAAAGACCGGAAAAGTCGGTTATTTAAATCAAACGATTTTCAGACCAGGTTTCAAACTTGCGTGTGGCAAAGTCTCATCATATTTAGTTTCTCTCTTGTACATGTGTGTAGGATAGAAATGCGATCACCTGTCGGTGTGGACGGAGAGTTCTAGAAAATTCTACTCGCTAGCAAATTCTGGTCGTATTACTCGTCAAAAACGCATCAATGAAGTCTCTCGAGAATGACCTCGCGAGAATTTCCTCCTGGACAATAAGGAAGAAGGAGGAACTAGTTAATCTCTCCCCGTATGGCGATCAATTTTTATTGACGTCAGTTACACGCGTATTTCTCGGGACCTTGGGGCGTGTGTGTCATGCCATGCTTTTTCATTACCGCTCGTGTGTGTGTGCGTTTCGCGCGCACACGAGCGCGGTCGGTGCGCGCGGCGAACGATGGAATCAAGCTCGTGAACGTTCTTCGTCATTCTGTGCGCGCAACTTCCGGCTGTTCCAGAAAGCGGAAGTGACCTACCCTTCGCGTGCAATCGATCGAACAATTCTGGCGGACCGATCGCGCCGAAGGATCGACTCGAAATTTACGAGTGACAAAAATCTCGTTCGCTCTGACGAGACGCGAGACGCGCGATGTCGTCATCACGTGGCGTGTTTGCGCGATCGATAGACGCTCGTTGCGATCGCTCGACTGACTCGAGTGGTGAAAAACGGTCGATGCGTCTCGACCAATCGCGCGCGGCCTCGAGGAGAATTCGGCGCCGCGATTGGTCCGCGTAGCTCCCGCACCGCAAGGAACATTCCAGAACTGTCGCATAGGGCGTTATATAGAGGGCCGCGAGCGCGATCTCGTCACTTTCGTTGCGAATCGTGCACGAGGAACTTCTTCGCTGTCCTACGAAGCGACTGAATTTGTTTCAAACTAAGCGAACAAAGCTCTCTTTTTCAAAGTATGTTAAACGCGCGTTTATCTCGTTCAGTGAAGGAGCCTCGACTCCTGTGCTGAGATCTTATCTAAACGATATTGGCGTTATCGCGTTCTACTAAATCTTGCGAATTCTCGTGATCTTGCAGAACCGGAGAAAAAAGAAACATGGCGAAAGCTCCAGCAGTGGGAATCGATCTGGGCACGACCTACTCTTGCGTCGGCGTCTTCCAACACGGCAAAGTCGAGATCATCGCAAATGATCAGGGTAATCGCACGACGCCCAGCTACGTGGCCTTCACGGAAACTGAGCGTCTCATCGGAGATGCCGCCAAAAACCAGGTCGCCATGAACCCCAACAACACCATCTTCGGTAAGTCCGTTCTTTTTTTGTCATTCGCTCACCCCATTACGCACGGAAATTGCGTCATAGTGTTCGAGTTGTGAGTCATAGAGATCTTGATGATCGCTTCATCATCGTGGTCGAGATAACAGCGAGAGATTTTATTGTTTTATGTTATTATATGAAGAGATAGAAGAAAGATTTTTTGCTCGTACACGGTCATGTCCTTGATTGATTAACATGGCGGAATCAGATAACACTCGTGGAAAACTTGAATTGTAATCAGAGATTAATAACACGCGGTTAAGCAATACTTCCCACAGCCATTTTGAATTTTTAAACAAAAAGCTATAAGAAGTTAATGTTTCAATGGATTATAAATTATTAGTTATTGTTGAGATAAATTATAAATAAGAAACTTCGATCAGAGAGTTATATTTGAATCAAATAAATATTCACAGCCTTTATTACATTTTTTTTTTATTTAACTTTTTCTTTATTAGATTTATTGTGCGGAATATCAACTAAAGATTTTGGATATTTTATTTTGATTTCTAGACGCCAAAAGACTCATTGGTCGTCGTTTTGAGGATCCCACCATCCAGGCTGATATGAAACATTGGCCGTTCACCGTGGTAAACGACGGTGGCAAACCTAAAATTCAAGTTCAGTACAAAGGAGAGATGAAGACTTTCTTCCCTGAAGAGGTGAGTTCGATGGTCTTGGTCAAGATGAAGGAGACCGCGGAAGCATACCTGGGCAAGTCTGTAAGCAATGCAGTGATCACCGTCCCTGCCTACTTCAACGACTCGCAGCGTCAGGCAACGAAGGACGCTGGTACCATCTCGGGCTTGAATGTATTACGTATCATTAACGAGCCCACCGCCGCCGCAATTGCGTACGGCCTTGATAAAAAGGCCACGGGCGAGCGTAACGTCCTTATCTTTGATCTCGGTGGTGGCACTTTTGACGTGTCCATCCTGACTATCGAGGATGGCATCTTCGAGGTCAAGTCTACAGCTGGTGACACCCACTTGGGTGGCGAGGACTTTGACAACCGTATGGTCAATCATTTCGTACAGGAATTCAAACGTAAATATAAGAAAGATCTGACCTCGAATAAGCGTGCTCTCCGTCGTTTGCGTACAGCGTGCGAGCGCGCGAAGCGTACACTGTCGTCGTCTACGCAAGCCAGTATCGAGATCGATTCGCTGTATGAGGGAATCGACTTCTATACATCCATTACCCGGGCGCGTTTCGAAGAGCTTTGCGCCGATCTCTTCCGCGGTACCCTCGAACCCGTTGAGAAATCGTTGCGCGACGCTAAAATGGATAAAGCGCAGATACATGACATCGTCTTGGTCGGCGGTTCAACCCGTATCCCCAAGATTCAGAAATTGCTACAGGACTTTTTCAATGGTAAAGAATTGAACAAGTCCATCAATCCTGATGAGGCTGTAGCATACGGAGCAGCCGTTCAGGCAGCTATCCTGCACGGAGATAAATCTGAGGAAGTGCAGGATCTGCTCCTGCTCGATGTTACTCCGCTGTCTCTTGGTATTGAGACTGCAGGCGGTGTCATGACTGCGCTTATCAAAAGGAATACTACCATTCCTACGAAACAAACGCAGACCTTTACGACTTACGCCGACAATCAACCGGGTGTATTAATCCAAGTTTACGAAGGTGAACGCGCAATGACCAAGGACAACAACCTTCTTGGTAAGTTCGAACTCAGCGGCATTCCACCCGCGCCTCGCGGAGTTCCCCAGATCGAGGTCACCTTCGATATCGATGCCAACGGTATTCTCAACGTATCCGCCGTGGATAAATCTACCGGTAAAGAGAATAAGATCACCATCACAAACGACAAAGGTCGTCTCAGCAAGGAGGATATCGAGAGAATGGTAAACGAAGCCGAGAAGTATCGCAGCGAGGACGAAAAGCAAAAGGAGACGATCGCGGCCAAGAACGGCCTCGAGTCTTACTGCTTCAACATGAAGTCCACAGTTGAGGATGAAAAACTCAAAGACAAGATCAGCGCATCGGATAAGCAGACGATCCTGGACAAATGCAATGAGATCATCAAGTGGCTCGATGCCAATCAACTGGCCGACAAGGAGGAATACGAGCACAAGCAGAAAGAGCTGGAGTCGATTTGCAATCCCATTGTTACCAAGCTCTATCAGGGTGCCGGTGGTATGCCCGGTGGCATGCCAGGCGGCTTCCCAGGAGCCGGCGGTGCTGCTCCCGGCGGTGCACCCGGCGGCGGCGGCGCGTCCGGACCAACTATCGAGGAAGTCGACTAAACAATTCTCCCGATTTAAGACTCGCCACTGCCCAGGTCGTCATAAAATCCGAGCAATTGCATTATTCTGATGCAATTGGTGCAATTGATCTACACGCGAGTAAAAAAAAAAAAATTTAATTAAAAATCCAAAAAAAAAAAAAAAAAAAAAAAACTAAACTGAGTAAGCGAACATGGAATTGTTACACAGCCACGGTCTTTGCTTTAATCATTCCGTTTTCTTTTTTTTTTTTGCGTATCTACGAACGACGATTTCGTCGTCTTTTCAAAGTTCCTCTTCATTTTTCTCTCTTTTGTACTTTAGATAAACACATCTGTGCTTTATAATCACCTATTTATCTTGTTGCGTATTGTACTTATAATTTTTAACTCCCGAAGATCTGTTGTTAATCTTCTACGTTCCAAAAAACTTCGCAAATATACAGAAAGAGATCGAATCGGATAAAAGACACTAATTTTTCTTTACCTTTCTCGCATCCCTGTAGAAATAAGCTAGTTGAAGCGTGATATTGTACAATTGAACAACATGTATGTATACACAATGGTTACAAAAAAAAACAAAAAAAACATTGAATATCGAAGTTCTAATCGCACTTGGTGTCAAGTTCGGACGATCTTTTAATTCACATTCTTCGAGAAACGGACCTTCTGTAATTTTTACAAATAAATAACAAAATAGAAGGAACTTTTTTTTTAATCAATAAAGTAGGAAAAAACAGGAAATGTGAGCGAAACAGGAGAGCGGTGTGTTAGGGGTCTTGTCAATAATAATTCAGACGTTCAACAATATGAGGCGGGAAATAAGTAAAAGTTTATTTAAGCGCAATATGCGAGAACCTTTATGGCAAATAAATTTTACAAATTTCTATATACAGAAACAAAAGGCAAAGACACGTATGGTCGCAAGTTTCTTTTTGGTACGCTGTCAAACAATAAGTGAGATGATGAGAATTGCCGAAATCATCAAAAAATGTCCTACGATTGATCCGTCGAAATTACCGATTGCCACTTACGCATATAGCGCGGAAAAAATTATAAATGTGAATATACGCACAATTACACACGTAATTTATATAGAATATCCAGATGTCATGCCAGTTGTTAACAACACGGTCCCCTTTCCCTTCTTCTTCTTCTTTTTGCCAACCGTGTTACCGTCATCGTTCGCTTCTGAAACAAAAAATAAACAGGATTTAAAAAAAACTAGAACATAGCAAAATAATTGCGCAACACAAACTAGTATTCTAATAATTTTGACAATTTGGCTTTGCGCGACTTACGGTCGGAAGCGCACGGTTTCTTTTCGTCTTCGTTCGACGACGTTGACGACGTGCTCTCCTTCGATTTCATAGACCAGACATTGGTGGCATTGCTCTCCTCGTCTTTGCCAGGTGAAGTTCCCCATATGCCGGAGTACGTTTTTGATTTTACAATCGGCCAAGCGTCTCTGACGGACTTGTTGTTCGCCCTTGTCGCTGCTGTAGAAGACGATACCTCGTCGTCGTTGCCGGACGTACCCGCTATATTGGAATAAGTTTTCGACTTTACAGCCGGCCAGGCGGACTTGTTGTGCTGCGTGATCAACATCGTCGACATTGATTTTGTTATGTCGGCGAACGATCGAGTCTGCGACGAATGGTCTGCTGCTTCTTGTCTCGTGACGATGTCGTCGCACGTGCTTAAAGGCGGACTGCCAGCCATACTCGACGTAGCCGCCGGTTCTGCGATCGATAGCTCGCTGCAAAAAAAAAAAATTACTATAATAAATAAAATAATAAATATAATAAAAATAAATAAAATTTACTCTCGTACGCAAAACAACTGTTGTAACAATTATCGCAAACTTACTTGGGAAATAATTCCGACTGGAGTTGAGGGAAATGTTGATAAGACGCGATCTCTATGTTGGGCGTTGGATATATGCCGATTTGTCTGTTCTCCTCTTCCTTGATCTTCTTCTCTCTTTTCCTCTCCTCGCGCTCTCTCTGCTGTCTGTATTTCTGTCTCGACTTCAGTTGTTCTGATTAAAAAAAAAAAAAAAAAACGACAGCATGCGTATAATTGGGATTTATCAATAAACCTCTTCTACCGAAACAATTTTGTTTACAAAAACGATCAATACCATCAAAAACATGAAGAACATCCTCCGATACAAGCGGCGGTTTCAATTCGATCTCAGCCAGTTCGAATGGACAAGTAAGCGGCAAGTGACAGAGATATCTCAATCTTCGTCTCAAGTCTTCGGTACATATGCTCGCCTCTTTCTCGAGAAGCCTACCCGTTATTACGGGAGGACAAAACTCCAAACTTCCGTATTGCATTTCCAACATTTTCACGTTTGCCGCGTGTAGATATATGTGCTGTCCATCCTCGGCTGATAATCGAAATTACACATGTACACTTGATTTGAAAACAATGCACGGACTCTTATGTGATCTGAGATATTTAAAATCCAGAGTATATTGTTTTACCTTGATAAAAGTAAGAATACTTGGGAGACGTTGAAGTTGACTGATTGTCGCTGGAAACACTGTCTATCGAAGACTGCTTTGTTAAGGGTTTATTGTCGTCTCTGTTCGCATTTAATTCGTTTCCCAACGAGGTGTCATCTTCTTTTTCCGCTGTGTTCTCTGTACTTGAAGCGTCTTTGGACTCGGTAGCCTTGGATATATATATCGCGCACGTTATTCATTACTTCACATCACAAGGAGTCGCGGAGTATACACCAATACTCTCTTACCTTCAACAGCAGCTTCTCCTCTCTTTTTGACAGTTCAGTAAGCGCTTGCTGGATGTAAAGTATCATTTCCGAATTGGTTTCAAGCGCGAGTTGTAATTCAGAACGCTCACATTCTATGATGTACACAATCTGAAGATAAAATTTATTATCTGCATTATTATCTCTGTGCGATTTTCTCTTGACAATTATAATATCTTTCGCCAAGTTGCCAAACTTACATCTTGCACACTCGCAATGAGAAGTTTGGAATATATTCCATTGACGTTGTTTTCCGAAACGGAAAGGAAGTTCGTCGGTGGTTGAATCGCTCGTTCTACGGGTGTGGCAAACAACGAGTTCTTTTCGCGACGCATCAGACGTAGATTGATCGTGTCACCCAACTTGACTGCGCTTCGTGTAATCTCGACCACACTGTAATGTGCAATTAAAAATGTTCGAGAAGACGTTTTCTTATTCTCTTGACGTTATATTACGGTTTCGCGCAATTTCACCTCTTCAAGTCACTTTTGCAGATATATTCGTGGCAAATCGGACACTCGTAAACATGATCCGTTTCTTCGTGAACGTGTAAGTGACGGAGAATACATGGCCAACAATAAACGTGACCACATCTAGTCATTTTACTTGCGTATGGTGCCTCCAGGCAGATCGGACAGATAGAAAGACTCTCCGAATTGTAAAATTTCTGTAAAAAATATAAAATTTATCGAAATCTATGTGTTTTGCCGTTTTCGTTTCTTGTAGTCTATTGCGCGCATCGATAACATAAAAATACAAACTCACAACTTGCTCAACCAATTTCCAATCCACCAGAAGATCGGGGTTCCTCAAATGTGAGGAATAATCTCCGTTTCGCATTACAACAAACTGACAGCTGCCAATAAAAATTTATATAAAAGTCACAACGTGAATGTGAAAAATGTAATAAAATTTTAACTAAGTTCTATTACCTGGTTAGTACAAACTGATCCTTGTTGTACTTATGCCGCTGTATCGGTGGAAGCGATCTATTGTTGTTGCTATGTCTCCCTACATCCCTGCTCTGTAGGTCACGCGTCATATTTCGCTTGTAGCGAAAATTCAGCAAATGATTGCCATTCTCTCTTTTACTTCTTGGTATTGGGACCAATACTGAGCCATACTCAGGAAACCTTTCTTCCACTACCTGTGTATATACGCATGATATTTAAAAACTTGAGTGACACCCAGGAAAAATTATCTCGCAAACAAAAAACAAACCTGGGAATTCGTCTCTGCACCGCCATGATATTGTCCTTTAGGTTTCTGTCTCTTAACAAAATCTTTTGTTTTCTGTATATTGTACCTTGTTGGATGTTCATTGTTGTAGGCGCCAGTAGGTTCTCTCTTGCGCAAAATACCCTGATGAAACTCCCCGTTAACATCTGCGCACGCAAGACAAGTGAGAAAGATACAACAATAAGATCCCCAAAAAAGATTCTCACGCGTAACGACACAAACCACAATGACCTTGAAAAATACACACCTCGATGATGGTTTCTCCCATCAGCAACCGACCCCGCGACGGGGGACGCAATCTTCGTATTTACATCCATTATTATAACGGCTGTCTGTCTGGTGACTCGCTTCGTTGCGGCTACGGTCTCCTCCGTCTCCTCTCCTCCGAGAAACGATATCTTTTCGCGCACCCTTCATCTTCTTCAATAAGCCATGTTTCGTCAGTGCCAAAGTGGTAAAATATGTGCCTCGATGTGCCGATGATCGACAGTCGATGCGGATGCTGCACAGAGTGCGATTGACGCGAACAGCGGTGAGCGTAAAGCTCGAGGTTGTACCTTCAGGGAGCAGTCTGCCTCCCTTTCGTCGCGAACGACGATTATTCTGCTGGCCCTTAACCTTAACGACGGTCACGATCCGAATGGCGGACCTAACCATCTACGGAAACGGAAGTGGTACGTACCACGTACGTAAGTACCACCACGATTGTCGCGACACGACCGCGCACTCGGAACACACGGACGTATTTCCCAGAGACGTGAGTTCTCGCATTTATAATTGCGACTTGCGACGAAAAATCTCATTATTTTTCTTGCGGCAAAAAATTCACAAAATTCTTTGATCCCGCTCGCGCGAATCCTCTCCGCGTTTATCTCACAAAACGCAGCATCATTTTCCGAAGTTGCTGTGACTTCAGTTGTACTCTCTCTCCGTTCGTGGAAAAGAGACCAACAACGCGCGATTGACGCGATCGTTTCCGAACGAGGAAATCGAAGTCATTTAAATGCGTCTGTTTTTGCACGCGCGTAATTACAGCGTGTGATTTTTTTTTTGCGCGTGCAAATCGAATTTCCAGAAAGAAGCGTTTCTCTCGAGACGATTTATTTCAACGAGATAAGTCCATTCCGACGGAATTATTAAGTTATTTATTTTTTTTTATGTATGTCACAACTTTGCGATGTTTTAGAAATTGTTTCGTTTCTTTTCCGTTCCGCAACGGAATTGCAAAGGGAATTATTCTGATTGGCTACTCTCTCTCTCTCTCTCTGTTCCGTTATTTCTTTTTCTTACCGAGAAATTTATTGTTTATGCGGTTTGCGAAGTAACTAGATTTGCGAGATAGCCGATCTTCGCGAAGTTGGTAACGGATGCGTAACGACGTGAAATTGGACATGTTTCAACGGAACAAATGTTTAGTGAAACAATCGACGTTGATTTGTTGGTTCTACAGGTAAGAGCCAATCGCATTTCGTTGATACAAAAACAGCTTGTTCTGCTGTGAGCGCAGCAACAATTGCAAAAAAATGGCGATAACATTTTTTCTTCGCAGAGATGAGGTGTGCTGTTTTGTATCAGTAGGGTGATTTCAATCTTTTCGCCGGCGCTTATCGATGATATTGTTTGTCGTCTTTGTCTGGCACCGTTTTGTGTCACGTGTTGCGAAAAATGTCGGCAATGTAACTGACAAGACCTGATTTTGCAAACACAATGTCAAAATCGAACAAATTGATCTTTCTTTTTTATATATCTACTGTTATCTTCACAACCGTACGTATACGCAGAATTTTTTTATCATTCAATTGCTTCTTGTACGTTGTGTTATATATTTGTTGCTTAAATATTCAAACGCAAAAACATACAATTTATCGAAATCGATAGTCACGTAGACTTGCGAAATATTATGTTATTGTTATTGCAGGCTTTAACTGCGGATTCTTCACTTTCCATCTGCGAAGTACCTGATAAAACCTTAAGCATTGTATACAATCTGACAAGATTGTCATCAAACAAAGAAGATATTGTTATCAAACCTGATTTTCGCAATGATTCGATACGCATGCAACTATGCACTCCGTTAATAAAAAAATGTAACAACCAGGACGGATATGCAATTTGTGTAGTCACCAACAATACAGAAAGGGGAATAGGTAAATTAGTTTGAGATAAAATTTTTATACCACTGTGAATGTCTCTGTGTATATAACAACTCTTGTTTTTATTTGAACAGGAAAATTTCCTCCTCTTGTAACAACAGAAAATGGAAGACCATCCTTCACATTCACTGGCGGTGCTTGTACGTTTGAAAGAAACTCTAGAGTTGTTATTTCTATAATGTGTGATTATAGTGCGGGAATAGGTCAGCCTAAACTAGTGACTCCACGTGTAAGTCTGTCTTTTTTTAAATTAGTAGCAATGTAAATAATCTCTGTATATACAATGAAGATACTTACAGAAGGGGGAGATTTGTGATGTATTTATGGTGTGGAGAACTTCGTTAATTTGTGGGCCTAGAAAACAAGTAAATTGCACAGTTGTTGAGAACGGCCAGCTTTATGATCTGAGTCCTTTGACAAGATTTTCAGAAAATTATGTGATTCATGTTAGGCCTGATATCACATCACCCTTGATAGAACTCAATGTCTGTCACTCGGTAATACCTAGACAAGGATCCACATGTTTTAGGTCAGGAGCCTGCATGACTCGTGGTTCTGAAGAACATACGTTAGTATTTCTGTAAATTTTTAATCACTAGTTGAATTATTATATACACACACAGAAGTTGTTTAGTAATTGTACATGATGTGTGATAAATGTTTCCAAAGACTTATATTTCTCCTGTTCCAGAAATTTGGATTTGGGAGAGGTAGAAGATGGTCCATTCTTTGGGGATGGACGTAACTTGATAGTAGGATATCCACGGTTTATGTCCGTTCTTAAAAACGGACATAACTTGATGATAGAATATCCAAATGGTGCACTGTGTACACAAAGAAATATTACTACTCCCCATGTGAAAACAACCATCATATTCATATGTAACCTGGAAGCTACGGTATATTTTATAATAAATACACACACACACAAACAAATTTTTATGTATCAATCAAAATTGTATATAAATATTGTTTACATCAGGAAACTATCCCACAATATGTCGGAGGAAAGGAAAGTTGTCATTATAAAATAATATGGACTACTGCTGCAGCTTGCAGCGTTCAGTCCTTACGTGACTACAGTGCCAAAAAGTCGGGCAAATGCGTTGTCATAAATCCAATCACGAATTTTACGTAAGAGATAACCGCAATTCAATATGTGATTGTTATTTAAAGATATATGTTACATTTGTATAAATTTAATTGTGTAATGTGTAGATATAATCTAAGTTCGTTGATAAACGAAGTTTTCACCGTCACCAATGCAAATGGCGTGCAATACAAATTCAGTGTATGCGGAAACCTTCCGGATGACGTATGCGGAATTAGAACAGGTACTGTTCTTTACCTTAACACTAACAACAAAACCTGCATGCGACCTACGCTTGCAAAGAGAAGAATCTAAACCTCACTCATTGATTGCGATTTCTTTGTGTAGGAGCATGCAAATTAACAAATAGGTCATCGTTAGGGCAAGCTAACACAAATCTAATGTGGCAGCAAGGTGGTCCTTATTTAAATTATTCTGATGGTAGCCTGTGCGAGAACGGGATGCGTCACCACACAATTATCGGATTTTTCTGCGGACCAGAAGGATCGTTCAAACATCCGCTGCTCATGGAGGACTATCCATGCCAGACTGTCATACACTGGGACACAAGACTGGTTTGTGAGAAAAGAGTGAGTATCGCAACACACACATCAACAAGCATTTTAGCTTGCAATTAGTGGTTAGTTTATTTTATATCAACACACACGGCTCAGATGTAGTACACATTTGCTTATATACATGTTCGTTCGTCTGACAATAACAAACAACTTTTTTTTTTTTATCTAGATTAAATGCGCTACCAATAATTACGATGAGATTAGCTTAACTCCTCTTATACGATCTATAGATAATTATGTTGTGAAAGCCAACGGTAGCGAGTTCCACATAAATATTTGCCGACCATTAGTTCCCAAGCGAGGTCTGACGTGCGCGCACGGCAGTGCCGCTTGCAAAGTTTCGGTAAATTCGAACAAGGAATATGTCAATGAAATCGTGAGTACAATTACGAATATTTGATCAGTTGTTCTCGTTTTCCAATTAGAAAGCGTTTAGAGTTTTAATAACGTTACACTTTTTTATTACGTAAACACGATAAATAATTGATTATAGAGTTTGGGATTTCCCGAAGACAGTCCTACGTTAAACAGAGACTTTCAAACGGTGTTGCGTTACACCGGTGGATCGAAGTGTTCGGAGAATCCAACTCAATTGATCTCTTCCAACTTCACGTTTGTTTGTGATAATAACAATCAGGTAACAACTGTGAGATTTTCCGAGAATTTTATATAGCTTGAGTTTTGTATGACGAATCTTTTTTTACGTATTGAATTCCCGACGTCTTTTCGTTTTAGGAACTACCGATATTTAAACAATATATCGACTGTACATATGTCTTCGAATGGCGCACTAGTATAGCATGCGGTGCTGTAATGGGAAGTTGGACGTCACCGTGCACCATCAAGGATGGTTTTCTGTCGGATGAATACGATCTCTCGCTGTTGTATAACGAGCAGCAGATATATTATGTAAGTTAATATATTTGTTAGCTACAAACGCGGGAAATTGTAAAGTATCAAGACTACTACAGTATCATCGTGCGAGTGATAATATTCTTGTTCTCACGATATTTGTAAACGTAATTTTACACCTATTTCTCACATGTGTTCGCAGGTTGAAGGTAAACAAGGCAAAAGATACGGTATAAGCATTTGTGGCGGAGACAAGTATTGCAATGGTTCGGCCGTTTGTCACGAGGGCAATGGCTACGGTTCTTTAAGCAATGTGATTTTCGATTACAGCCGTGACGATGCGAAACTTAAATATTCAAATGGCAGTAAATGCAACAACAGTAAGTGTAAATTTACTTTAAGATATATTTCAACGTTTCTCTCAAATGTGTCTCTCTATACTTATGCGAACTGTATATGTTGATCAAAACAGATTCTTACACGTCTGAGGTGAGATTTATATGTAATGAATCCATAAGCATTGGCGCGCCGAAATTACAATTGGTAAGTGCACTTATGTAAAGAATTTTTATTAAAAACTATAAAAATAGGTTTTTCTTTCATCTCACACACATACATTCATACGCATGCATTTTTTTTTTTTTTTTTATCTAAACTAAAAACATTGCTACAGTATAGGTATTTTACAGTGCTTTGTCAGGTACTGTCTTAGTAACTTAAAATTACACTGGTGTCGTTACAATTGACACTCAATAAAATTGGTCAAAATATCAACCGCATAAATGCTAATAATATAATCGAAATATATAAAATTATTTCATATAAACTATATTGTATATAAAAACATATGTATAACATAGAAACTTGTTTTTATACATATATATATATATATATGTGTGTGTGTGTATATTGCATTGTGTACATTCGTGTGTGTTTTTGCGACTGAAGATAGCGCATCACAATACGTTAAGTAATTGTTGAGTATTTTTGTATACAAACTACTTATATAAAATACATCTAAGATTTAAAATATCATACGGAAAAATATTATAACGTGTTGAATATGACACTTACGGAATAGAAAAAATTACGTATTAATACACGCAATTACATATTAATATGCGAATATTCGTGATTGTATAATTTACAGCAACACATGCTCTTTAGACAGTTTTGACGTCAAAAATTTTTCCATGACTTTATATTGTGTTTATTATTAAACTTCTACACGGCTTGCGAATAATTGGAATGTTTCGAGTGTGTAATTTCTCAGAAGAAGATTCTTAAGTTATAAGATCAAATCTCTTTAAGAAGAATATCATAAGTGTTTTGGCGTTGGTACGTTTTCGCGTGTGTCATACAAAAATATTTTGCATGTATTCTCATGCATTTGCTGTCAAATCATACATTCTCTGTTGCCGATTACAGGACTGATTTTGATTAACTGTTCTGGCGAGAGGATTACCTTAACGTTGCCGTTCATCTTACCCGAATTCCGCGAGAATCCGTTCAACTGTGAGTTTTTATTTTCCGCCTCCTCGTCGCATATAAACGTCTTAAGCGTATCGGCTGGTGGTGTGGTGGTCGGAGAAGTCTCGGTAGATGCGATTGGAAAGATAAGCTCCTTCTTCTCCCCGTTCGCTTGAAGATACAACGATTGATTCTCGAAGATCTTTTTCCCGGCGGTGCTGATCTTCGACAGTTGCTTGGTTCGATGAGGCAACGCGTATCTTAATTTATCCCAAAACCAGGGATCCCCCCACTCGACGTAAGTGTTCATACTTATGTACGCTTTCAATTCCGGATCGAGATTGTCGGTGGGTCCGATATCGCCGTACAGAACTAATATCACTCTCGCGCGACCTTCGCTCAACGCCTGACTGTGAGCGGCGCGAAATTCCATTCTTCCCCAGACGCTTTCCAAGAAGTTCGGCGACAGCACCACTATCGTTCGTTTGGAATCTTCCACAGATCTGGCGATATTCTCCGGGATCCACTCACCCGCTAACCAATTCCGATAATCAAGACACAGCTTGAACGGGGTCGGGCCGCTCTCGAGCTTGGACACCAACTCGTTTTCGACAAACTCGCGATCTTTGTGCGAATAACTCACAAACGCGTCGTACAATTTCTCCTTGTCGAGTTCCTCTTCCGTCACGAACCACAAGCACCACTGGCGCGCGAACAGCCACACCTTGATCTGTCGCTGGTACTTGTAATAGAACAGCCCAAAGGTGCCGATGATCAATCCGAGGAGAGAAATCGTTAAACTGCAACTAATGATCACAGTTGTGTCGAATAAACAAAGATCAAGCGGTTTTATATCCAACAGAGACATATTCTTGCCGTAACAGATCACTTGAGATAGATTGGGTATCGTCACGTGCTCCGTTCTCTGTATGATAAAATTAAGAAGCTCTTTAGCTTCACAGTCGCATTGCCATGGATTATCGTGTAGCGTCAGCCGAGTTATCGAAGAGTTCTTCAGAAATTCCAACACGTCGTGACTCAGTCTCGAAATGTTGTTGTTGTGTAATTCCAAGACCTGAGATAGAAAATTCGATTTAAGATTTAATACACCTTTCGATTACTTTTCCTGAGAAGATTATTTATCTAAAAATAAATATATTGCAAATTTTCACACACCTCTAGCGTATCGGGCAGTCCGTCTAAGGTAACGTGACTGATGCTGTTGTGAGACAAGCTGAGATTTTTCACCGGTCCGATTTTCAATCTAGTCAAATCCGGCATTGTCGTCAACTTGTTACCGGTGTAATTCAATTCGTATTGTTTGAAATTGTTTGTAATGTTCGCGTCGCTTGGTATCTTAATTAAATTTTTGTAAGAGCAATCGAGTATAAACGTTTTACCGTCGGGTTTGAAATAACAGACGCATTCTTCGGGACACGTGGGAGCCAGGCACTTTAATAGATTGGATTTTAAATCGGTAATGTACACGTTTTTCAAGTCGTCGGGGCTTTGACAAGTTAAATTTTCCACTCTTATGTGAACGGATTTGTGCACGCTTGGGTGTATTTTGCCCTCGAGATAACGCAGAAGATCGTACACGCCGCAATCGCAGTCCAACGGATTGTTTCCCAGAAATACTATTTCATCGCGACGAGTTTCCTGAAGCTGCGAGAGATATTCGGCCTCGTGCAAGTCGATGTGTTGTATTTTGTTGTGGGACAAGTTCACTCTGACACTTTTCGACAGAAACTGCAAGTCTCGGAACTGGAATTAAAAGAAAACATAATACGAGTTGCTCTCACATCGAGTTCAATATGTGTGATGATATTTTAGGGATTTTTGCGTCACATTCTCATCTCTCTGTGTTTACTTACATTTAGAAAAGATATGTTGTTATATGTGAGATCCAAAATTTGAAGACGCGTATTGAGTATCCAGTCGCCAAATATGAACGAAATGTTGTTGTTAACCAAGTACAATTCTTCCAATGATTCGCATTCGGAAAACGGCGATTTCGGTCCGAATTCGTCATGGAAAATCGGTTTTAACTCGAGATGATTGTTAGACAATCTGATAATTCTCAACCTCGCCATATCTTCAAAACCGTTTTCCGAGATTATCTTCAGATTATTTTGTTCCATATTTAGTTCTTCCAATTGATATAATCCGTATAACGTACGTCTGAAAGATCAGAAATAATTTTATTCTTCGTCAAAAATATGCCAAGAGATGGCATCGTTTAATTGAAAAAATAGCGATTTAAAAAAAAAAAAAAGAAAAACGTACCCGGATATGTAACTGATGCGATTCTTCGATAGATTCAATTTCCTCAACTTAGTGGTGTTGGCGAAAATGTTGTCAGGCAGTTCCTCGATGTCGTTGAAAGTAAGTGTCAGTTCTAGCAGTTCCGTCGAGTCGCGGAACATGAGCGGGGGCAAAGTTGTGAGATAGTTTCGTTCCAAATTGAGAATGATCAATGACGAGGATCCCCAGATCAGATCCTCCGGCAGTGCGATAAGTCCGTTTCGTCTCAGCTTCAAATCCTTTAGTTCGGGCAGATTGGCAAAAAGTCCACGCGGCAGCGTCATATTTCTTCGATTGTCCGTCAGCGTGACGTTCTTGAGTTTCGTGTTATTTCGCAGCAGACTCGCCGGCAAGTCCGTGAAGTTGTTTCTCGACAAGTTGATCACCTCGAGATTGCTCAGATTCGCGAATATGTTCTTCGGTAATGTGACCAAGAAATTTCTATTAAGACCGAGCGTTTTGAGACCGTCGAGTCCGTCGAAGCTTTCCGCTCGAAGATTGACAAAATTGTTGCTCCACAGATTGAGAAACGTCAGATTCTTTAGCTTCGCGAACGTGCCCACCTCTATCGATCGCATGTTGTTGTTGCCCAGTTCGACGTAGCGCAAACCCGGCGTATGGTCGAAAAATCCTTTGTTCAGATGCAAATTGTTCTCGACCAAGTTGAGTCCGGTTAAATTACCGAAACCGCTCAGCAGATCGTTGCTTACGTCAGTCACATTGTTACTCGAGAGAATGAGCTCCTTCAAATTCTGGAAACCGTCCAAATGATGTCTCTTCAGAGTGAAGCTCAGGTCTTTGTACGACTGGAAGTAAAGTTTTTCTATTCCCGTGGCCTCGAGGATTCGCGCGATATCGCCCAAACTTCTCTCGCCCGGGAAATCGCACATTACAAACGAGAGTATCTTCCAGTCATTTTTCGTGGGCGCTTTCAGATTGAAATCCGACCACTTCGGCGAGTTGTTGCATTGTATTTTAATCTGCACAAGAAAAAAAGACAATTCATTAAAGACTACGTTCTATTTTTTTTTAAATTGTTTTTTTCAAACTCGTTAAAATCGTTTCTGCGAATATAGTATTCGATCTGCGCGTAATGTGTGAAATATAAGTCGGAATTCAAAAGATACACCCACCTTGCTCTCGCTAGATTTGAATTCCACGGTAAAACCGGTGTCATTTTCCATCTGGCAATCCATCAGAATGTTGTCGCCTATGATCTGCTGGCAACTGCATGCCGACGGGCAGCAGTGAACGAGAGTTACGGCCGCGACAACAATGAGCAAAATCGGAAGGCATCCTTGAGGATGATGAGTGATCATCTTTCGCAAGAATCGGGAATCTTCTAATTCAGCTTGAGCAAACAAACAAAACGAAGTTTCGTTTTCATTACGGCAGATGTAATTCGATTCTTGTCAGTTTCGCAAGCCTGAGCTAACTTGAGTATCAGAAACGGAAACATCTTGGAGCCAATGCAAAGTTTAGAGGCTCCGTTCGCGTTGCGGCGCGTGTTCTCAATTGTTTTGGACTCTACTTGAAATATAAAAAAACCAATGCGGTAGGTGTCGTTAGGAAGCTTTCGCGACTTAGATAAACGGCGACCGCAACACACAACTTCCTCTCTTTGAGATAAAACGATACGTGTGTGTTTCTCTCCGATATACACGTGCGGTATTTATGAGTTAATTTTTTTTTTTTTTTAACACTATTTAGGGCAAAGTCCAAGTGCTCTACGGTGTTTCGAAACGCAACGTCTCGTCTCTCACGTTTAGCGAGGAATAAGAGTAGAACAATATTCCTCGAAACGGTGTTGCAAAAAAAGCGTTACGTGTGTGTGTGGCGCGGTGAATTAATTAAAAGAGTAATCGGTAATTTTTTAAATGTTTTTTTTTTAATATTAAAGGTAACGTTAATAGCGCGGGGAATTCACAAGCGTTTCTTGACGAACTATATCGATGGGGATAATAAAATTGTGCAAAAAAAAACTATCACGTTAAAAGCCGCTTCGCGATTCTCAAGAGAGAGCCTCTCCTAATCCATCATCTCGGTTTGTTTGTGTATGTGCACACATCGTCCGGTCTACGTGTGTCGTTGTAATGAGAGATAGTTATTTTGAACACACATGTGTGTGTAGTAATTATGTAATAAGTTTATCTTTTGATACCGAATGTGGTTGATTTTTTTTTTTTTTTGATAAAATAAAAATACGAAAGAGCCGACTTTTGAATACGCAGTTTTGAAACAATTGACGATTTCACGTCGCTCGGATGGGCGGCGGCGTCGTCGTTATCCAACGTGCATGAATTGCCAGACACGTGACGCACGCGAGTTTAACGTGTGCAGAAAAAACAGAAAAATTCTCATAAAACGCGCTAGCATGATTGCGATTTTCCAGATACGCGGCAATTTACGACGAAAGATTTATGCCGCATCGAGATGTCTAATTGCGATCTATTCGTGTTCTTTATTTGGTTTTCATTCTTTGAAAGCAATTAAAACGCGAAATTGATCAAAGTGTTTTAAGAAAAAATTATTTCAATCTGCTTTTTTTTAATTATATATATTTTTTTTAAAAAGACCCGACAGAGAATTAAACAAAACTCAGGAATCTTCTTCTTAGAATTCTCGCGACGTGCAATTTCTCTCACTTCCTAGAAATCGGCGTTACACGTGCATCTCTAAAATAGCATTAAAGAATACACCGTTTTTTTTTTTTTTTTTTTTCAAGTCACGCTCGGACGAGTCTTCCTAGAACTTGTAGTCGACATTGTAAGTTGCCTACCAAATAAGGAAAAATTATCGTATTAATTAATTCGTTCCCTTATCTCGAAAGGGGATTAATTCGAACACGTTAAAGAATCGGCTCGCCGCGGGACGAGAAAATATTATTCGTCGCGTTAATTGTAATTTTTTTTTAAAAAAAAGATTCGTTCCGAGATTAAAACGAGACAAAAAAAATATACGTTTGAGATTCACAAGATAAAAGTTACGGAGAGAAGTAACCGAAAGATGTGAGATAATTCTCGGTCTGCCTGCGAAATGAACAAAAGATTGAAGATCGTAAAAAATTATATCGCAAGTTTAAAAAATCGAAAGACAAATGTTTGTTCGAAGATAATTAAAAAAAAAAAAAAAAACAAAGAGCTAAACAATTTTTCAATACGTTTACGGACGTGCTTATAGATTACGCCGCGCTACCGTTCGACAATCACAATCGCATATCTCGAGTCTTAAGTAATTGGTGTAGAAATAGCATCGCCTTGTCGAACACGTGAAAACCGATATATTATCGGTGATTGATTTGTGTTATCTCTTATTTGAAAACTATTCCGCGAAATGATGTTAAACGCAAATTGTCTCCAGATAGTTGCAAAGATATTTGTAATTGTAGTTGTGACACAAAGAAAGAAAAAGAGAGAGAGAGAGAGAGAGAGAAAGAGAGAAAGAAAAACTTCTGTTCGTGTTCGAGAGATCGAATTCGAACGATAACGCGATAATCGCGCGCAGATATGACCGACGAACTTGTTCGAATACGTGTAAAATTTCAAACATACAAACACCGCACGCGTCTCTTCGAGATTTCGCTGAATCTCAAAGTCGTCTTTAAATCTTCGCGAAGAACGATTCTCCGCTGTTTGTCGTGCGATATATCTGGCAGTTTCCGAATAATGAAATTTTAAAGACGTTCGACGAATTCATTTCGCACACACGAATTACGCGCGTCTGTGCGATTTCTACGCATGAAAAAAAAAAATTGATATCAACGTCCGCACGATAACATATGATCTTTGTGTGCTAGTACTCGTATCTCTCAACTTCCCTCATTTTTGCAATTGACGATTCTGTAACATAAGACGTAATTTTTTTTTCTTTTTCACAAAAGACTCGATATCTTGTTTTTTTACAAAATTTCGGACAGGAAGTTGTCAAAACACTCGAGCATCAATTTTGCGTTTAATTGCTTTTATAATCGTCACTTTATCAAGATTAGAAAAAAAAAAATACTATGACAAAACCTGCGTCGCGATTTATATCTCGATACAGCGTCGTCTCCCGTCTCGCTTTCGATTGAATCGTGCTAATTGTGTGTCTGGAAAATCGCAATCGCGTTACATAAAAAAAAACACGTCGATGCTGAAAATTCCTCCTCGTTTCGCGCGCTTTGAACTCGCGTTCGATATTCTGTTACGTGTCTGACAAATTCCACGAAATGCACGTCGTCGAAATAATGACACGTTTGCCGTCACGAACGGCGTGTTTCATATCTGAAAAAAAACATCTCGATAGAAGAGAGTCGATTAAAATAAAACAAAAAAGAAACGAGTGTGCATGTACATCCGGGTTCGACGCTCACAACTACAAAGCAACCTACGGACGATTAATGAGACGCCGCTTTAGAACGGGGAACCGTCCTTGTCGCTACCTGCGATGTTTACGTCATGTGTGTAGACAGGACCTGATTTACAGATATTTTTTAGCGGATGCGCCGGAAGTACGAAAAAAACCTGGAAATCTGATTGCGCGCAACGAATAAACAATAATTTTTTTATATTAAAAAATCCATTTTCGTCCGCGCGCATGCGAGACATAAAGGAAAAACAATCGAATTTTGTTCTTGAACACGATAATCGCGTGATGATTTTTTTGGCTGCGTTTAAAACAAAAAATGATCAAGAACATCGTGAACAAGAAACATCAAAGAGAGAAGAAAAAGAGAGAGAAAGAGACAAAAAAAACCGCAAGAGGAAACGGAAGAGGAGAAACCGACTACGTAAATCCGACCCTGAGCCGAAGGCGACTGGTCGCGCAAGGCGGGACCGGTTTGTGGAGATGACGTCTGCGTGGCTGTTCGCTTACCGATTTGTCAATATGGTGGACTGTCATTTGCGAGTGTCGCGCCGTCTGTCTTTCGATCTCTTCTTCTTCTGATCGGCGAAGAAAAAACGGAGCGGCGATCGGCGGTGGTTGAAAAAGAAAAAACCTCGTGACCTCACGCACTATTAATAAAATTGCTTGTGAATCACCTCATCACTTTCTCCGATTGAAATCTCCCCGCCCCTCCCGTCAATCGCGCACGTCGGGATTCATTTTTTGTTGTTGTTGAATCGCGAACGATTGCGAAAACTCTGTTAGAGCGGTTCGTCCTCCAATCTTCTCTTCGTTCAATCAAAGAACCAGAATCAATCCCGCTCGACTGAGCGGTTTCACACAGACTGATTCACTTAACCGCGGCGAACAACCGCGCGATTCTCCCTTCTTTCTTCTTCCCGCGTCTCCCGCTTCTCACCCGCAAGAGGATCTCCCCACTCGCACGACCTTTCTTTATCTTTCCGTACGCGCGTCCCATTCTTGACTCTTATCGTTTAGAAAATAGAGGTGAGACCGGATGACACGAGTGTGGGTACATTGTACACAGCCATATGCGGTCGAGAGATTGCGAAAAGAAAAAAAATAACGTAACTCCAAAGTCTAAACAAGACCCAAGTTGCGCGCAATCCAGATTTCTTTTACTCAATATGCAGTTGCTCAATGTGTACGTATATGTGTGCGTATATTGATGATAATGTTAATCTCTCTGGACGACTTGATTTCATTTCAATTGACATTGATAGACTGAGAAAAAAAAAGACGATCGGATGGTCCAATCGGACAGGAATGTACATCCCAAAAAATTGGTCTCGCTCGGATGTTTTTTTTTTTTTTTTTATTGTTGCGGCAACCTCTGAAACATTTTGTTATTATTGATTTTTATTACGTTTACTTTTGCGTAAACAAACGTTCCTTGTATTCTTTGTGCATATCTTTGTACATACGTGATTTCTGTTACTTAATCTCTTGAATTTGTGGATTCGCACTTTCTCGAACACGCCACGTTTGACGAACAGGATATATTTGATACTCCGTATCTTGATAATGTACGTTAATACGTTAAGATTGATAAGGATGTAGCGCCAATAAAGGAGGGGCAGTGGAAGGAGAGGCATTTCATCGTTCGAAATACGCTCCTCTAATGATGTAAGGCGTTTGTGTGTTAAGAAACGTTTCTTTACACGTGAGAAAAGTAAGTTTTTGACGAAAAAAATGACTGGAAAAAGGATTTTTCTTTTTTTTTTTAATATTGTACATAGTAAAGAAATTATTTCATTCATTTTTATGTACACGAGGAGAATTATGTTTGTTTTCGTTTATGGACGCGAGACCAGTTTTTCACAAACATTTTGTGACTCAGCAGAAATAACAATCAAGGGGAATTCCAGCGGCAAAACCCATTCCAGGAATTGTAAAAAGGAAAATAGAGATAAAAGAAAAAAGTGAAAGGGAAAGTCGCGATATCTTCAATGCGCTCTAAGTTGCTATTTAAAAAAATAAATAACCAGAATTGATCAATTAAATTTAATTACATTTTTGTTACGTATCTTGATTAAATTATTACTCATTTGCCGCGTAAAAAACTCGCTCGCAATTATTTGTACCCTGAAACTTGAAGGAAATTGTTTTTTTTATTTGTTCACTTTTGGGTGACTCACTCTGCATACCGACGTTTGCATATTTTGCACCAATCGGTCAACAAATATATTTTTGATTCGTGGACCGAAGTGGATAAGATTGCCAAAGTCCATGAAGCGATTACATACTGTTAAGTGTCTCTGATTACCGAGTATCTCGAATTTTTGAGACGGACAGCGCCAAAAATCTCGTCTCGCACGTTCTGTTTTTTTTGTGATTCCAGGAGTCTCAGTGCAGCGCGGAATTCGAATGGCACACCGAGGTGGTCTGCGCGAAACACGCCAGTTCTCAGAGCGCGAGTTCTCAAGCGGAAGCGTCTTCCGAAGAGGATTTCTTCGACGAACTTTCGCCTAGAAATCTTGGTGAGCGAACTGATGATGATTTTTTCTCAACATCTCGTTTGCGTTCTGACGAGCAATATTTCTGTTTCAGGAACGATTGCCGCGGTATCTACTCTTGTAATAATCATAATTGTGTTGATAATCGCTTTAATCCATTTCCGTAATGCGGAGAAAAGTTGGTTCAGCTTCAGAAGAAACGTGGGCCGCGTTCAATATTGCCGAGTAAGTTCCGAAATCACGTTTCTCTTTTCTCTGTGTGTAAAACATTTTTACATCAGAGACCCAATATATCACACACTCTTCAAAAACTGTAATATAAATCTTTTTTGTTTTAATACATGTATAGTTTTTGTTTACATCGTAGGTCGATACCAACGAGGAAGCCAGGCTGTTGCTCGATGCTATAGATTCGACGCAATGTGTGTCGGATAGTGATGATGATCTTTTACATATATAATTGTTATATGTTATTATTTCTTTAACGTGATAAATTATTGTGGAAAAAAAAATAAATCAATTAAATCAAACGTTGACAAGTTTTGCGTTACTTTGTTGTTTTTGAGAGATTTTATATCAAAATGGTAAAAAGCTGGGAAAAATCATTATTTAATTGTGTGTTTGAAAGAACTTCTCTCTGGTGCGAAAACAAAAAGTTCCACGGTGTAGATAAGAAAAATAAACTTCTAACGATTAATAACATAAGAGAAACAATATTATATATTAAAGAGTTTTATATATATATATATAAACTTAATATATATATTATCGGTAATTAACTCTTATGTTAGTTTGTTTCGGACATACATTTCACACGCGGGAAATGGATCCGTAATATCTTAAGATATATCTGTGCATAACAAGTACTTTGGTCGCAACTTATACAGCTTCATTACGTTATTTCGTCAGATATTTAAAAGTATTGCATAAAATAATTTTGTCTTCGATAACAAATTTATAATTACAAATATTCACGAAGCAGAAAGTAAAACGAGAAGAACGCGAATTGCCAATATACACTGGTGTGAATGTGAGACGCGGCGGACAGTATGTCGTTGTCTTTTCGTTTGCCGGGTTTGGAAACGCACAAATCCTCGCAATCCTCATCCTCGCACAGATCGCACAAGGTCGTTCTTCTAGGCTCGTAAAACGCTCTCGCTCTTCTCGCTGCAAACACATTTGTGTTTTAACGTACGTAGTCTCTCGGGTTTCTCTCAAACAGTTGTGTAAAAGTCGCGATAAATTTGAAAAATTTATACTTACACGAATCGTAATAGTCGTAAATAGAAACAGGAACTGGTTTTTGCATGGCTACTTTGTGTGTCCTAAACGCGGACACGGTAGGACAATATTCTTGTTTCACCATCTGTCAATGATAAATTGATTAGTGTATCTTCCATTTATATTTCTCACCAGTAACTGTTTTAATAAAAGTAACTTGCAACACGCTGCTTGTTCTTCGCGCGATCTATCTCACCTTGTCGAAGTACAGAACCACCATTGTATCGCCGTGTTTGGTCTCCACGCGTTTCACACTCGACGAAACTTCCAGACTCGGCAGAGAGTCTCGGTCTACGGTAAAGCCAGAAGGTAAACTTACCTCCATCACGGCCATATTGCTTTCATTCGCTTCTCTAGTCGGAACGAATCTGTAGACAAATACGTTGGTTGTCATTTCCTTGTGCTAATGTCTCTCATCTCGCGATATATAACATGAAAAATCGGCAAGAGAGCGAAAGACAAGACTACGAACACGTACCCTGAACAGATGGAAAGTTGCAAGTGATTAGCGTTGGAATTTTTATTCACTTGAGGATCTAATGTGAACAACGGCCAGGCTCCGGTGACGTTCAGATTGTAATGATAAGACACTTGTATAAGTGCAAATCCTCTGCCAGACGCTGTTACATTGACGAGTCGCGTTTTCGAAGGTAACTGTAGAAAATGCACGTGTGTTGATGCTCGTTCGCGTTACGAACGTAATAATTTGTTCGAAAAAACACTTACTATCTGTTTTTGAAGTATCATCGAGTTACCCTTGTTTATGTTCATTTGAGTTTCACCGTCTTGTCCGTACTTGAACGCGATCTGAACTGAGCCTGCGTCCTTCGATATTTTCTCAGCAAGCTTCGCCAGTGCTTGAAGTCCGATTACGGTATCCTGCGGTCATTTCACGTAGTTGGCACGAGAAATATAAAATTTAACGTAGGAAAATCGAACGTATCTACGATCTTAGTTCGGTTCAAGTGTTTAAGATCACTTTGCCAATGCTTACCTGCGTTGAGGCGAAGCCGCCTTCCGTATTTCTCTGTTTGACAAGCCACTTCATCACAGGGATCGCGTCAGCGACCAAATTACGTCTGATGTAGGAGAGTAGAGCGTAAGACGTCATTTCGACGTCAACGCAACGCGGTAGGGAATAATGCGGATTCTTGTCGTCCTTTGGAACGGGTTTGCTCCACCACTTGAGGTCCTGCTTCGTCATGGCTTTTGACTCCAAGTAGTTAAACGCGGACGTTTCGTACGGATGGTTCGCCAAATTCAAGGCGTAAGCGCACAAACTCAGTGCGTACGTGTCGTTTAGGTCCTCGAGATTACGCACGATGTAGTCGACAGCTTTGTTTATCGTATTGCGATATTTCACCACGGCATCCTGCGTGCATTTTTCATTTCAAATAAAATATCAATTTACATGGTTTTTGAAAGATAGTCAAGTAAGGAATTGGCGCGCTCACCTCGTTTTCGAGAAAAGCAATAAGCGTGTACGCCGTTAAAGCAAGTCCCTTCGCTGCTCCGCCTTGCATATCGCGATGGCTCACCCTACCTACTTCGGGGAATGAGCCGTTCGAAGCCTGATTGTTGGACAGCCATTCCAACGCCTCGTTTATGATCCTGTCTTCAATCGCTATATATTCCGCCGCTTGTTTGAAAGATTTCGCTACGAAGGCCGTAAGCCTGATGGAACGAAGTAACTTGAAGTCTCTTTTGCGATTTATATAAACAAGAATGTGGTACAATTCAAACATAAATTATTGTGGCAAATTATATAGGCGCATACCACGTACTGCCAGTAGGATCTGACATGCCGAACGCGCTGAAGGAACCATCGGTGTGTCTGTAAGTCAGTTCTTGTTGGTAGCCAACATCCAAGTATTTCAACGCTTTGCTCTGCACAGCTTGCGTCAATTGGTTAGTATTCTTGAGATAATTCAAAATGACGATGTTCGGCACGAAATTCAGCATGTTCTGCTCGCCGCAACCGAACGGCATTCTGATCAGATTTGCCAAGTTCGGAATACTTGGACCCAAGATATCGCCTGATCGAAACATCAAACGCTTTTTAAAAACATTTCGAAATTCGAGAAAATAAAATTTATACACGTGAAACTTCTGCATATTGAAATATCAATGTGAAGATTGTAAAAAGAAAAGATTTATTTACCGACTGCAGAGATTTGTATGTTCTCGGAACCCGGCACCGCGTTGTTAGGTATGTCGATGGTGATGTTCGTATCTGTGCGCACGGCGTTTCTCAAATCCAAAAATATCGCCTTGTTCTTGTATTGCGTTTCTCCCTCAGCCTTCAAACATCATTATATTACATCTCAATATCGCGAACAATCGCGTATAAGTAAGAGCGACAAATAGGTAAAATTGGTTAATTACTTTCACAAGTAACTTGTGCTCAACGCTGTCGCCGGCCAACACGCTGTTAGCGGTCGCTTTTATAGTGATGTATCCCAGATCTCGCGGGATAATCATGAACGACACGGTGGAACCGGAATTAGCTTTCACGTCGACCGTTTTCTTTCGATATAATTCCAATTCTGTAAGAATCGACAGTTGTTTTATTTATTTATTCTAATTCTAAATCGCGTCATATCGCGCAAACTCTTGCTGACGTTACTCGCGACACTTACTCGGAGCGTCGTGAACCTCATTCGATACCTCCGCGAAGTCAAATTGACCCTCGTTCGTCAGCAGCACTTCGGCTGTCAGATCTTTGTTCATGTAATTGAACACTACAATCTGTATCCCTACGATTTCGCCGCGTATTACCGAATACGGCAAATCCATGGATATGAAGAACGGTCTGAACACTTTCAGCTGAAAAACCAAAAAACAGATCACAATCAATCGCTGCGTCTTTATTGAAGAATTTTTTCTTTTGCTTCAGCAAATATATGGAAACAATAATGATAAATAAATAAGAGAGAGAGTTTTTACGAACCTTTCTCGGTTCATCTATGAGACCCAGCCCGTTCGCATCGTTCACGGAGAACGCGGTAAGCACCCACGACGTTATCGAATCCGGCACATTTCGTCGCAGTTCAACTGTTCCCATGTATCTGCAAAGTACATTTTAAGTCTCTTACAATCACAAGTTGAATTAATTCGATTTGTGAGTGATTTCTGCGACACAAACTATGGACTGTGATCTACTTTCTAAGAGAATCTTTTTTCAAATTTTTCAGATAATGAGATAAGAATAAAAAGATTGGATTTTTTCTAAGAAAAAGCAACAGTATACACGATACAAGCAAGTTGATAAAAAAAAAAAAAAAAAAAAACGAAACATGTTTAGTTCTCAAATTTGTATCCTTCACCTTTGCAAACAGATACACGTTGTATACAACATAGATGATATAAATAGCGAACAATGTTATTATATATATATATATATATATATAAATGAAAACTGGTCGTTCTTTTGCGAATGACATGACACACGTTTTCGTTCCAAGAATCGCATATACACACAGAACAAAAGCTCAGTAATGCGACTTGTTTAGTTTTACGTTCTTGAGAAAATACGAGATCGCACCTTTACCTTTGATCAACTTACACGCAGCGATATCTGTACACAGCGTGTGTGCGTTATTCACAGATATTATACAGAATGTTATTGCAACAACAATCGCATCCTGTAAATATAGCGCACACACGTTAGAGGCGTGCACGTTAAACTAAAAAGTAGATACAACATACGAAATAAGTACCCTGAAGAGAAGTTTGTGAAAAGCCAGGTGTTTAAGATGTCATGCATTAGGAATACACGGGGCTTATTCCAGACAGGAGGTGGGATGCGAGAGAAGGCGTAAGGACCTGCCAATGGTGGTCTTGTCGCTAATCTGTGCGTGACAGGTGGACCAAGATCTGGTCGAAGCGTGGACAACCCATGAGGCGAGCCCGTTATTCTACCTTCCAAAATCTGCGGTCCTGCAATCCAATTCTGCATGTTGTATTTACCGCCAACTCCGTAGATATATATTGTCGGATATATTGTGCACACAATACGACCTAAACTCAATACGTTTTTGAGAAATATCGAGTGACACCAATTGAATTGCGTGATTGTTTTTCCAAAATTTTATTATTATTATTCTTATTCTTGTTTTTAAATCTATTATCTCTTGACATTCTTATCACAAAAAATAAATATTTCTATTTTATAGACCACATAAATTTGTGTGTAAATTGTAGGTCATATTGAGTACAGTTATTTCGAGTTCACACAAAATGTCTCCGAACTACCACTATTAAACTTTCAATCACAGAAAAAACTCATTTAATTTTTTTGAAATTTCTGCTGAAACTTCTCGATACTGATAAAGCTGACTTCTTTGGTTTCTCTGTGACAGTTCTGAAACATCCGAGAGTATATGCACATACATTTTTTTTAAGATAGCGTACTCTTTAAACAAGTATCTAAAACTGTAAATTTTCAATATAAACAATATGTATAAAAAACGCGGTTTCCAAAACCGTAAAAACTAACAAGATATAAAAACTCCTAAAAAGAATCCGAAGAGTTTACCACCACCACCATAAGCTTTATCCAGAGCCATATATCCATTAATATGATGTGCAACTTCAATGCGAAGCATTTAGTTTACATTATTTTCTAATTGTTTACATTATTTTCTAATTGTTTGTAACGCATTTTGCTACATTGTTAATATCTCAATAATGCAGGTATGTGAGTGCAGATTAATATTCGCGTTTTTCCTATTTATGGTCTAGAGAAATCAGCAGGCTCGAAAGAATAAAGTAAAAGAAGTATCGTAATAAAGTGTCGTGTCACTCTTGTGTTATCTGACGCAATTAAAAATCAATTATCACACCGGACATCACGGACTAGATATGAATGGGAATTAAACATGACACTTATGCATGATAACTTATTACGTCAGTGGCATTACCCAGCGTCAAGCGTTTGCCAAAGCCAGGTTTCAGGGAAATTCTTGCGAACTTTGACCTTCTCGGGCGGTAATTCAGCTGGGCCTGCGAATCCTGCAGCGGATGCAAATATCGTTTCATCCAAACTAGATCTGTAGTATACTACACACATATAAGCACGGTTAGAAAATTATACCTACTAATACTTGTGGGAAACGCAGCCATAAACTTGTATCTGACTATATTAAAGAAAATAAAAACACGATGTTATTGTCATGCTATATTACAATTGAGCGAAATATAGCTATTTGACGTGTGGTAATATATTCTATGTAAGACAGAAAGAACAATTCTCACAGAGAGATTAATTTATACTCATTAGATGTGCGTGTTATACAGTCTGACTAGATAAATTATTTCTGATTTCTCTGATACTTACGTATGGCGTAGTTCTCGTGCACGTACCCGTTAGTGAGAATAATCACGCCAGTTTTCTGTGATAAATAATTTGTCAGTTTACTTATCGGTTTTGGATCAAGAAGCGGAACAATATGATAAAGCGCGCATGTATTATTATATATTGCGATTTGTTATACTTGAAACACATCATCCGCGGTTCCCGAGCCGGGTCTCCAAAGCGGACGATCGAAGAACGAATCTGAATACGGCGATACTTCTCCAGGATCGTAGGAACGCAGTTCTTTGTACACTTCTTCCTGAGCGCGGCAAATGCAATCAGGATTATTCGATAAGAAAATAAGTAAAAATGCGCAAAAATTAAGTAACTCGAGTATATCACACATACGTGGGATATATCATTTCCAGATTTTAACAGGATAGATCTCTGATCAATACCCAGCAGTCCAACGAAGGAATTTGGCTTCGAGGATATCATGAGGTTGACATTCTCTCCAGGCATGACCTCACCGGGTGTCACTTTAATATCGACCTATTAATGCACAAACATTATTGCAATGTTATTTAACTTCGTCTTCCAAACTATTTTATGCTGCATCAATAAATAACTTACGAAGTTTTGCAGCGTTCCCGAAAGTTCAACGTCCAACGAGTCCGCTATAACTTCTCCGTCTATTCGCACGTAGTAAACAATTACGTGCGCAGTAGGTGCCATGACATATGTCGCTAAGAATCTGACAAAAAAAAAAAAAGGTTTGCTGAACAAACTAGTGAACGCACTTACCAAACTTGAAGAAAGATACCAATGTGTAAATTCCATTTTGTTGAATTGTGATTGATTGTTGAAAAATTCCGAGCACTAAATCACTTTTGACGATTACCTGAAATTTGCCGTGTACTTGTCCGAGACGTAGATCGATCCCGCATCCAGAATATCACCGCGCCCGAGTATCTCGTAACTAACGTATTTCAGTGGTGCTGTAGAATTCACCTCGATTTCGACGTAACTGTTCACCTGGCGGAGAATGAAACGGGAGAATATAATAAAAAATTACGAAGAAGATTTAAACGCAGCAATATATAAATTGAAAACGCACCGTTGGTTTCTCGGTTTTTAGTGTCGCTTGGATGTAGTCGTTGCTTAAAGATGTGGCTTGATTGGTCACGGGAAACCATTCGTGAAGATTCAAGTATTGCGCCTGCACAAACACAGACAATCAAATTTATTATATATTTGTATGCAATATACTCTAAGAAAGAGACTCTAAATAACTTTACCTCTATGTTCAGAGGATACGAGATATTACTGTCCGACTTAGGCGGATAGAAATCCAATTGTATCATCCCGTGCTCGTCCAGCATGCGTGAAATATTCGAGTACGCTGACTGATTGTACGTGTAACCGTACGCGATCAGCACGGGATGTTTGGTATCTTGCACCGGTGATCCGTCGTGATACGCGAGCTTCAGCTAAAAACAAATGTGGAACAGTGAAATATTTCAGTTCGTTCGTTTTAACACGCGTTTTACAACGAAATACACTTACAAAAGCAGTAAATTTCAATCCCGGCTTGAAATACTCCGACGTTTTTATCAGTTCCATTGTGTACTTGTGTTTATGTAACGTTATTTGCACCGAAGTGTTTTGTCTCCTAGTGGTTAATTCCTCTTCCACCACCGCTTCGATCATAATTGGTCTTTCGTATTCGTCTGTCAGTCTAAAGTTTTTATAACAGAATATGTGTTGAAACACCTTGTACAAATTTTGTGATAAAATAACATTTGAATTAAGATTGCGGTGTGTATTATTAACGTTGGACTTACCTCAGTTCAGACAAGATGTCAAAATCAACTGTTACTTTGCCATCAATTGGCAAGACTTTTCTCACAGGCTGTTGAAATATCGGTTGAATGACGCCAGAAAAAATGTCTGGATAAGCCGTTATTGTAGCCTCACCCTTTACCGGCTTTCCGTACGTGTACCTTAAATTATCGTGCACTTACAAATGAATATTTTATATGTAAGTGTTAGAAAAAAACTCTTCTATAAGTTTTCATAAGTTATTGTTACAAAAATTTTTAAGTCTGTTTTCTTCATCATCATTGCTAAGACTTACTTTGCGTGAATAGTTGTCACAATTTTGGATTCTTTGAATTGCACGTGTTTCGGCGAATCGATCGTCACCTCGAAATTCGGCAAGACGTACTCCGCTACCTCAAAGTCTTTTTCGAACGTCTGATCGCCCACAGTGGCAACAATCTTCCAATTTCCCAATATTGGCGATTGCGACAATTCCAATTCGCTGCTGAAGATTCCATGAGTCACCGATGGACGATTCCATTGTTTGATACGATTTCCATCCCCATCCTTGTCGTTAGAACAAACAATTCTTATAACGTTTATAATTTTTTATTTAAAAATTGTGATTCTGCGTCTTCAGGTCAAGAAACAAATTTTTTGTTTACAACAAAAAAGCTGACACAAGAGATACACTTACAATAATATACACATCCGTCGGTCCGACAATGCTTGGTCTCAGCCTCGAGTCCAATATGATACAACGGAACATGACTTTGTGTCCGGGCTTGTAGATCGCCCGATCGGTTTGTATGAAAACGGAAAAGCTTTTGTGTACATAATCGATTTCCTTTGTTTTGTAAAAATTGATACCAGATAGACCGCGCGCTGTCAGTTTGTACTTCCCCGGCGTGGTTTCTCCGATCTGACATTAAAACATCAATCAGCTCCAAAGTAAACACGATTATTCGTTTGCGGACAAGTTCACTGAAAAAAATTCGTTATACACGTACGTCTAATCGTATGATTTTCGTCGAATAAGGCTCGACGGTTACGCTTCGTGAAACATTGAATATTCCTCCCGTATCGAGTTCACCGGTCAACTCAACATATATTACTGTCGGTGTGGATATGCCGGTGATACTGGCCGCTACATGATATTCCGAGTCGGGACGTACCACTTTCGGCGCGATAATTGTGTAATATCTGTAAAAAAAAGAACAAAAATTCTAAAGAACAATTCTTCAGAAAAATGCGGTCAAGGTCAAGTGTTTGATGAAACAATATTTTTGAATAATCTACAATTTGTGAAAATATAAACTAAAAAAACAAAATAGATAAATTACAGAAAGTGAGAAATGTTTATGTATCAGGTGAGAAAGCTGTTGGAAAAATATACAACTAGTAGCTGTTTTTCCCACGCGATTCTTTCTCTCTCTCTCTCTTTCTCTCTCAAAATCCCAGATGTTGTCAAAGATGTGTCTATTGTGTTTCCATTGTTTAACTTGTAATTATTTTGTTGAACTGAACGCGCATTGACATTTCCCACGTCACGTTACAGAAAACACTACGGTATTCCCAGATTCAGTGATACGATTTCGTCGTTATACACGCTATATCTCGATTATACTATTTGCGAATGAAATCCACAAAAATACAAAAGAAAAACTATTGTTCTTTGCAACTAATTTGTGTCTGTGAAAAGATCATTCATCTTTTTTCACATAGAAAAAATGTGAAATTTGTTTTTTTTCCAAGTAACAAAAAAACTTATCTGTCAATAGATTCGGGGATACTTACGGTTCGGCCGTGATACTTGAAATTGTTCCCGATAGTAGAACAGCTAACAGAAAGCCTCGCCATCCCATGTCTTCTACGGTAAAACAAACCTGCGGTAAAAAAAAAAAAAAATAAGAATCTTTCAATATCTGCAAAAAAAACGTCTCTTTTAGGTGTAACCTTCAACTTGACAATTATTGTTTTTTTCTGCTCAAAATATGCTTAATTAAGTAGATACTTGATTCAAAAATCACGTTTGAGACGTTCTCTCTCAAACGTGATTGTTGTGGTGAGGTTTACAATAGAAAAATAATTAATCATAATTCTTAATAACAACGCCTGCGAACAAATTGCAGGAGTGAAAACTCGGAAGACGGTAATAAAGACGGAAACAAACGAGTCAAGAATGTTGCCAAACGTTGTACGAGTAATTAAATGCAATTATGTATCTAAGTGACACTTTGTGACGATGTGTGCACACCCGTGTGTGCGTGTGTGTACAGGTGCCGGTAATTATATCGTCGCGCGCCACGTTTCTCTCTCTTTTACGAAACACCCGATACTACCGGCTCTTTTCCGAGAGATTATCGCACAGACGTCATCAATTCCGAAAGATAAAGAGAAAAATTATTGAGGAGGAAAAGGATGTATCGAATAAACACACATTGAAGATTTGTTTCTCTCGCGTAGCCAACACTGTCAGCGGATATTTTAAATTGTGACATCAGAAGGTAGGGATTTCCGACGAATTGCGCAATAACTTGCCAAGACAATTATTTCTATAAAACAAGTTTTGTTGTGTGTTGTCTCTCTCGTTCACGTAACACATACGTTTGACGTGAGATATTAATCCTTCGATTACCCAATCGCCCCGGTGTGTAAGTCTGTAAAAAAAAAATTATCAAAGTGACCCACACGTCGATCGAGGAAGTAACAAAATATCTGCTGTAATTTCGAAAGTTGACGGCTGCTTTTTCGCGAGGGAGAAACGCGCCGTAAACGCTATTACGTCATTTCATTCATGTTTTATCATCTAATAAGCGACAGAAGTCGCAATAGCTTTTGAGGTCCTCGAACGCAATCTCGTGGGCGATATATTCATTAAAATCCCATTTTAAATTCAAGATCATCTCAAGTTCATCTCAAGAAGCCGCGTGCGCCAAGTCGTCTATCTATGATAATGGAACTTTAAAGCGATCTCACAAACATAAGATCCTAACGGTTGGTTTTTCGTCATCTGAGTATAGAAATACACGCATTAGAAAAATCCAAGGGGGAATTTTTCCCCGAGAAAATAACTGGAACGTGCGAACGTCAAATATTTATGCGAGAAATAAGATCGCATTGGGTTCCTAAGCGCTGAAACTTGTAACATTAGCAGGATTCAATTACATTCTCCGCGCTCACACCTGCTACGCTTCTTTCTCGTGGTTAACGTGCGCGAGCTGTATGTGTGTGCGTGCATATGTGTCGCTTAATTATTTCGCTCAAAAGAAGAAGAAAACGTGACGATTTGTTCTCTCGACGCGGCATTGCTCGGGACAATCGACTGTAATTTGATCAAAGAAACTGTCGTTGAGAAGATAATGGGTGAGAAGTGGGACAATCCGTCGTATAATAGAGCGAAATTCCCCCGGCACATGGAAAGTACACGCGTACTATTCTACTTTCTATTTGTTTACATTGCAAATCGAGCAATTATCGAATTTCGTTTCTGATGCGTTCGAACGATCCTGTCGATTGAACTTCAACGGCAGCGGTCGTCTATGGGTATTTTCCTCGCAGAGGAATTACCATGGCTCTGCCAAAAGCATCGCGTCGTAGCGACGCGACTTTCACCGACGCGAATTCAGGACACAGGCGTGAAAAACAACGACAAATCCGTCCCAGCTCGTCAGACGACCGAGATCTCAGCGTGTTATCAGCTACGCATATTTATACACGTCGCCCCGAAGAGATTTCTCTCTCTCTCTCTCTCTCTTTTTCTTTCTCTTTATCTCGCGGCGGCGGCGACAAGGAGGTCGGCGTCATCATACAAAATAATTCGGTCTCTCAAGGTGACTCACCTGTTTTAAATTAGACGGAAGGACGCAACTTCCTCCGCTTACGACGTCGAGGAAACGTCCCAACCGGAAGATTCGTTTGTCGTGTTTGCTGCTGCCAACACTTGTTTCCGAACGTTTGAAAACGATGTAAAAAAAAAAAAAAAAAAACAACACGAAGGATCTTACACCCGAACAAATCGGAGAGTTTTAAGAATGAACGTGTATATTCGCACCTGCTATCACCGCGACGGTTAAGCAAGCACTGACGGCCACTACCAATCATGGCTGCAAGAAACCGAGCAGTGTAAATTCCCTCTTCCGCCTCCTCTGCCGCCTCGGTCGACGCTGGTCGCATCTTTTACCGTTAAGCAAAAATAACACGCCGGCTAGATTCTCACAGGAAGGATCCTGATGTCTAGGCTCCGGAGGAAAGTTATTCGGATGTATGTGATTCGGAGAATCCAGGATGTATATTTAACGTACGGTCTCTCTCTCTCGAGAAAGGTGTTATCTAATAGGACAATTATATGTTTCTTCTATTATTAATCGCGGCATTCGCTCTTTGAGGAATTTTTTTTTAGATTCTTATAGATTATATACGTTAATACATGATTACTTATGACTGAATTATGTGAGTAATCTTCATAATATATTCCGTGACGACATCCGAGGTGCTCTAATGTTTCCAAATAGGCAGCACTTGACTGGTGACTTCAATGCGCGTCCTAGTTAGAGCAGACGCGAGGCCACCTTGTAAATGAGATCTGCAGAGATATATATGTATATTCCATATATATGCATATGTATACAATATATTGATGATGTATCTGCCGGCGATCTGTGCATTGTATATATCGGGATCTCTAAAAATGCATTTTTTTTTTGTTAGAATAAACGATTTGAACTATAGCGCAATTGATTGAAGTGTTATAATGATAACATTGCGTATAATAAAATTATACGCAATTAGATCTTAATAACCGAAAACATTTTAGGTTCCTTCTATTAGCGAACAAATTGACACACACATCTAGTACCATCATGTCTAGTACTAGCTTGACGTAACGAGATTATCTTTTTTTTTTAACAAGAGCCTGAAAAAATCGCCAGCAATGTTTGTTTTCGATTTGCGCGCGTGGTTTTTCAAATAAACAGTTCCGAGTTTTTTTTTGTGACAAACCAAAATGTTTTCGAATAATGTTTGCTGATACGTAACGAGATATTTTTTGAAACAAGATGCCTGAGGCAGTAAGAGAATCATCTATATCACATTATAATTATACATTAAATTAAAAGTCGATATAGCGAAGAAAGATTTAATAAATTAAAAGATAATTAAAATAAATCAGTAAAAGAAATTAAAAGTGAGTCGTATGTACATTAAAATTAATTACATACCTCAATTGTAATTGTATGTCTCGAGCGCAAGTGGCACAAAGCGACGCGCGACTTATTCCGTCTCTCTCTTTCTTCGTCTTGTATTATCGCTAGTTCTCACTTTTCTGCCACTTAAGCGACTGAGGCGCTGTTACATCTCGACGGCATGAAAATATCGAGCAGTCCATGCAGATTTTATATAGTCGAAGGATTTTACTCACAGCAAGATTACGTTCCAAAATCCTACCTTGGTAACTAAAAACTGTAGTACACGTGACGTGAAGTATAACATTTTAGTAACCAAGGTAGGATTTTGGAACGTAATCCAGGTTTCTTTTTCAGGTTGCACTAGAATTGTGTAATCGCTATTGCGCAGGCTGAAGGCGTTTTAAAACTCCACCTTAGTTGCTAAAGTGCTATATTTTTACGTCACGTATATGGTTTTTGGTTACAAAGGATTTTGGAACGTATATCTATAGGTTTGTTTTTTTCCTTAAACTGGCTGCATTAGTTCACAGTCTATCGTTCTCTTTCTAATATGAAAAAAAAAAGATAGATTGTAAACTAGTGCAGCCAGCTTAGAAAAAAAAAAAACAAACTTTATGTAGCCCGCTCAGAATACGAATGTAGGATTAGGTTTGAATTGGAAACCAATCAGACCGAAGGATGACTCATTCTAACTTTACTTTAATTAGTTACAAAATTTCCATTCAATTGTATTTGGCAAATAAGAGTAAAACGTTAGTTGCCCACGTACGTTTGAAGGGTGTTGATGGACTCTTTGGTGTGAGATCGAATTGGCATATACGAAGTAAAGAAACGCCGAGGTTTATTAATAAAAGTAATTATTAATAAAAAACAATTAGTGTGATTAATAAAATATACACAATAGTAGTGTTTCTAAACAGAAAGTATATCTATTTGACGAAGAAACACCTGTAAATACTCAAGGAAGAAAAAAGAAAATGGAGTTTGTACATAATTCTGCAAAACGTGCGAACCGCGAAAAAACGCTAGATGATGATTCTTTTTTCGATTATTTTAATAAAATGATCCCCGATTCGATACTTAACGAATCAATTGACACGGAACGTCAACCTTTAACAGATTCGAGTCTTTACTTCGAGTCTTGTCATAATTCTTTAAATAATCAGCCGTCCGACACGAGTCCTCATCAATCTGACAAAATTTCTCCGCACGATCGAGTACCAAATACTTCGATTCCCGTGCAACAACCTTACGATTGTTCATTGCCCGATTTGTTTACCGAGGAATTTATCGATAATTTGTTACACGACACAATGGTAAGATAAAGTTTTATTTACATTTACGGAAAAAAAATTTTATTCCCATTTTATTTTCTTCAAATTTGTCATCTTAGAGGAGATGCCATCTTTGTTTCGCTTTATAAGCGATGAACATTAAAAACTAATTACTAATATCAGAGAGAGCCTGAGAGCGGCCATGCCGTTTGTAGTTTCTTACGACGGTTTCAGCTGCTGGTTTTAGCCGTATTTCCACAAAAGTGGAACTCAAAGGCCGTTCTACATTAAACGTAAGTCTCAGATCTCGTGGAATTGATCAATTGCAGAGTCAAATCAGCCAATCGACCAACGTGATTGATCAGTTCCACGAGACCTGCGACTTGAGTTTCATGGAAAACGGCCTTTGAGTTCCACTTTTGTGGAAATACGACTAAAACCAGCGGTTGAAACCGTCGTAAAAAACTACAATGACATGGGCCGCTCTCAAGCTTTACTCTGCTAATATAATTGAATATGGCTGCTTTCCTTTTAGGAGAAAAGGAAAGCAGCTTATAATTACTAGTATAATTTATATTAATAATTAGGAAATAATTGTATCCAGTGAAAATTAATAATATACTCATATTATTATTAATTAATAATACCTAATATTATTAATTTTCACTGGATACGATTATTTCCTAATTACATATCGTATATTTATGTGTACAGTAACAGGTGCTTTTCTCCTGGAGGACATGCGTTGCGTTTGTAAAACGCGCTATTTGCGCTACTGCATCATTTTATTTGTTTTTCGTCTGAAATTTCGATTTTTAGTACTACTAAGCCCCTTGCACAATGGAAGGAATAGCGATAGCGATAGAAATAACAGTTTTTTTAACACAAAATTCCAACTCGTCGAAAATTTTATCGCTATTGCTTATTCCGATTTTCTGATCTGCATTGATACATGTGTAGTTTTGTATGTTAGATTCCGCTGTTCCTACCTTTATTTTTAAATATAAACTCTTTAAAACTTTTGTTATTTCTATCGCTATCGCTATTCCGTCCATTGTTGCAAGAGGCTCTAGAAGTGAATATCGGAACGCAACCATAATGTCTCTCCATTTTGCTCCAACATGAAAGCTTGACTCTTACCTAACCATAAATTTTTTTTCAAGCTATTTGCTAAAGAAAAAAGTGGAAGAAACAAACACGAGCCAAATAGAAAAAAGTTCAAGAAAAAAAAACACATTTCCATCTTGAGTTGCGAGCTTCAACCGAACTGAAAATAATAAAGTAATTTATTATTTTTAGCCTAAGCACTAAAGCAGTTTTTGAACTCACTCACTCACTCTCTCTCTCTCTCTCTCTTTCTTTCATAACTTCACTTTTTCCGACACAAAAGCGGTTGTCAAAAGAAACCCATAAATTCTGTATACAACAGAATGTCTTTCTTTTTTGTGACTATCTGCACAATTTATTTTACCAGTCGCGCAAAAATGCTGGAGAAAGTTATTTATCCTGTTTTTATGCAAACTACAACTTGTTGTTACACAGTATCGCCTGTGTACGTAGTTGGAAGGCACCCTATACAAGTCCATGGTCTAAACGCGGCTTAGGCCTGGTTTATGCGGGCAATAACTGTTAACTTATGCCGGAACCGGTAGAGTTTAACTATAGGATTCCAATACTTCTGTTTATACGCATTCGGCAATTTTGTATAAACAGAAGTATTAAAATCATATAGTTAAACTTTACCGGTTCCGGCATAAGTTAACAGTTATTGCTCGCATAAACCAGGCCTTAATAAAATTCTCACATGCGGGAACCGGTGATGAAAGATCGAGCAACGAGAGTATCGAAGCCAATCGAAGCGGTGGGGGGCACGCACACAAGCGAGAACCGCCGTCACAGACGACGATTCTTGCTTGTGCACGTGCTCTCACCGCTTCGATACTCTCGTTGCAGCGGACTCGATCTTTTGTTGGAACGCACTCATAGGGAATATACACTTGGAGTTCTTCGCACATCTTCCGCGAGACGGAAATGCTCCGCGGCAAGTGATTGGCTGCCATTGGCATCTTCCCTCGTCACCACGACGTGTGCAACTTCGCGCCGGTTTCATGGTTGATCCCATCTGTGTGTCGCGAGCAATTTCGCGGCCATCGGTTACTCGCTTGGGTCGTCAGTAGTTGCCAGACTAGCGAATATGGCTGGGAACAATGGCACTGGTTATTGAGCTAACTTTGCGTTCTGCTTGCGCTTGTCAACAAAGAGGTTTCCTCTGATCGTGAACGATCTGCGACACTTGCATCAAGCACGGTGTAAGTATCGTTTTCGCGCCCGTTCTGCCTCCTCGTTTACGTCGAGCGGTTTTCGTCGTGGAACGTTCTCGGAGGAGCGCACGTCGTGGCGGTGGTTTTCTCTCCCGTTTCGCTGTCAATTCGCGGCTGCTTTTAAACGTGACGTTTACAGGAACTTCTCGCGCACTAGATTGGCACATTGGGACCGCAAGTCCCGGTGTCTTCTTCCGGATCTTCACGAACCTCGTCCGGGATGAGCTCTCTCGCACGTGCAAACGCGCAGCTCGTCGCACTTCGCTCGAACGCCGAAGCTCGAGTCCTTTTTCCATGATTTCACATGTCCTGTCTTTTACGAAGTTAACGAATATATAATATATATGCGTTATTGTTATTTCATTGGGTTGTCCGATGTAAAAAGCGGGTGCCGAATAGAAATTCAATCGATGCGATGATATTTCCGCCGATTCGAAAAACCCTCCTTCACGTTGTACCTACAAAGTCGAGGAAATTATTGTTAGATAAAATCCAAATTTTAGACATTTTCAATTACTTTTGTTGAAGAAAGTTGTTGCAAACTGTTACTTTTTATCAGCAGCAATTATTAATAAACGTAGAGATTGTTATCTCAGTATTAATTGTATTATAAGCACAGATATGAGTAACTTAATATTTTATTTTATACACATTTGTAAATTAAAAAAACAAGAACTGTACTAATGAGTAAAATTCTTTTTTAAAAGTTGGAGCTCTCATAAAAAGTAACAAGAGAACATATAAGTTGCTTAGTTAGGTATTGTTTATTTATTGTTTACTTGGAAAAATGTATATAAAATGTGTTTACAAGAATAAAAAGAAGAAGTAGAAAGTTTTTTCATCAATGTATAAATTATACAATTTAGTTTATCCTACATGTCTTATATATCCTTTAGATTTAGTTTATCTCAGAAGGTCAGAAAAATATAATTTCCTTATCTTTGTTTTCAAGTTTCTTTTGTTAGTAACAGTATCTGAGATAAGCAAGAGAGAAAGAAGTAAACTAAAAAAACAAGCATGTATTTGATGTCTAATGAGTTAAAGTTTCATGATGTATTTGAATACAATGCAATAATATATGAAACATGTATTGAATTTGTTTGTTACTTATATGTGTTACAGGCAGACAATAATATTATGGCAACTGCTATTCAAGAAAATGGCATGAAACCATTAACCAATAAACCATTAAACCATGTGGACAATGTAAATCGTGTAGACCATATTAATAATGTGGGCAATGCTGACTCTACCACAGATGACAAAGATTTATGTAATGGACAACTTGAATCTTACGTAAATCCCGAGATAGTGGCCGAGGCCGAAGCTTCCGAAGTTGCCGAAGAACCTGCGCTTGATATTGTTATTAATAATGTAGTCTGTAGCTACAGTGTAAGATGTCATTTAAACCTGCGAGAAATAGCACAAAGGGGATCAAATGTTGAATACAGAAGAGAAAATGCTGTATGTATTGATTGTTTATGCATTTTTATTAAAATTGACTATTGATGAAGAAAATTTTATCATAAAAATCAAATATTGAACCAATATCTCAGAAATTAAATTCAATATCTTACGATTCGTTAAAGTTTTGTGGTTAGAAAAATGATCTTAATAACACATTGATGTAACAATGAATCATTAAAGATTAATGTCTGTCTCTCAAAACTATTTTAATATTCTGTTGCAACATCTTCTTAGAAATCTTCATGATATATTTTTGTAGATTCAGCATTTTAAGAGATATTGGATTACAAGACATGTAACAAAATATCTTTGATACATGTCGATTATTATGTAAGAGAAGTGTCAGAGATTATATTACAATAACAGTTAAAAACTGATGTAATAAAACTTACTGTTGTTTTGTCTTATGACCAAAAGTAGTCTCACATTACTTAATGTTTTCTTCTCCACGTTGGACTTTTGCTTACATAGAGTGTAATGTGATATTTCCAGATGGTAACCATGAAATTGAGGAGGCCGTACACCACAGCATCCATTTGGTCATCCGGCAAAGTAACTTGCACCGGTGCAACCAGTGAAGAACAAGCCAAAATTGCAGCGCGAAAATTTGCACGTTCCCTCCAAAAGCTTGGATATGAAGTGAGGTTCAGCAATTACAGGGTTGTCAATGTACTAGGAACTTGTTGCATGCCATTTGCTATCAAGATAACATCATTTTCAGTGTGTCACAAGGAAAATGCTAGGTAAGTAACAAAAAAAGAAGTTTTTTGCCTCGTATCGGCCTTTTCATCGATTATTATTCTATTTAACAATTTCACGAGATCCACAACATTACTATTTAAAAAAAGAAGTATTGTAACAGATGTTTAAATTGTTATTTATATATACTGCACATGTATAAATATAACGTTATATACACAATTGTAAATTCAGTGGAAAACAAAAAATATATAAAAATATTTTTTCTTTAACACAGTTACGAGCCGGAATTACATCCTGGTGTTACATATAAGCTAAAAGAACCAAAAGCTACTCTGAAGATATTTTCTACGGGAAGCGTTACTGTAACTGGTTCGTATATTTATGATTACAATAAAATTGCTATTAATGTTACGCATAATTCTCGCAAAAGATAAATCTGCTTTGGAAATAACTAATTACGTGTTATGTTGTAGCACCTAATGTTGCTGCAGTCCAAACGGCAATCGAACATATTTATCCACTAGTCTACGAATTTCGCAAGGAGCGAACACTGGAAGACGAGCTCACTCTAAAGAAACGCAAGTTGAGCAAAAAGGGTCAGGATGAGTTCCTAGATGACGAGCCGGATATGACGTATGAAGCTGTAGTATCCGACGTGGACGAGGATGTGGATAGCGACGCCAGTTGGGACTGATCTGTTTTATTTTATCGCTCCACTGTTAATTGTGAAACTGTTATCTCTATATCTCGTTCTTTCACTAATAGATATGCACTGCTCGATGTACAAAAAAGTGTTATTGCTAAAAGTGAAGTGAAACGTAAATTTGTTTTTATAGTGCAAGAACAAGTGTGTGGGTGTTAGGAATACTGAAAATGAAATGATGAACTTGAACATGTGGACAAAGCGTACACAAAAGTACTCAAGTCAAGTGTAACATGTAAAATGAACTGATCATTCTATAAATGATGTTTTGAAGTTGCTTTTGTTAGAAAAATATGAAGTTATAAATATAAGTATAAATATATATTTAATATATATATATATAGTATATTACAAATGTAAATATTAATATATATTTATATTTGTATTTATACACTTTATAAAAACAATTTCACGTTTATAGATCTTCGACATCTATATACATGTATAGAAATACGCCTAGAATATTTTTAATTCTAGAATCGATAACGAGATTAAGTCTTTTGAAGATTGAATATGTTTCCTTTACGTGACGTAAACTTGTGTTTAAGCAATTCCTAGACAAAATTTCGTATTTATACTTTTGTGAACAAACGAATTGGTACAGTTCTTAAGTTTGAAAAAAACAAAAAACCAAAAAAAGAGAAGCGCACATTGTCCATGAAAATTTTTATGTTCCACTGCGGGCGTGTACACGTTTATGTTTCCATTTATTTTATTTCTCACGTTAATAAATTATGTAAACTAGTTTTTGCTTAATTAACACACTGTGCCAAAGATAGATATTTCAAAATTTGAGATAATGTGAACATTGATAAAAGTTAGACAGTTGACGATTTTATTGTAACAATTATTAGATTCCCAATGCTTATAAATCAATTAATATGTATCCGAAAATGCCTTACTTTTGTGATCCACTACTTTATAGAGAATATTATCTCGATATATTGGCCAAAAAATTATTTTACATCATAAGTTTTGGGATTATTCTGTAATTCTAATTCATAGAACATTTATATATACACATATATAATATATATATGTATATATAAT